CCTCGCGTGCTCGTACCTACACGTCATGTTTTTACCGAGCTCTATACTGATCCTTCGCCCCTCTCCCCATAGACGCGGCTACGCGAACCGGTGCCGAGCAACAGTTAACCCAAGCTGCCGAGAACAATTTTGTAAGTTGCCATCGTTGGTCAATTTCGGAGTTGATCGACCGTAGCTGACCTATCCTCTTTGCTTTTAGCCCCTGTATTTGGCGACCCTAGTTCAGTCATTGGCAGACGAAAATGCCCAGGGCAACATCAGAGTGGCTGCGGGTCTAGCCTTGAAGAACGCATTCAGTGCTCGCGAATTTGCCCGACAGAACGAGTTACAGCTCAAATGGCTACAGCAGACCGATCAAGAGACCAAGGATCGCGTCAAGGAGCTTGCCATCCAGACACTTTCCTCTAACAACGCGCAAGCCGGTCAAGCCTCCGCTCAGGTCATCGCCGCTATCGCCGCTATTGAACTTCCTAGGAACCAATGGCCAGATCTTCTGCAGGTCTTGGTTCAAAATGTTAGCGCGGGCGCGCCTCATCAGAAGCAAGCTTCGTTGACCTGTATAGGCTACATCTGCGAAAGTCAGGATCCCGAGCTCCGAACTGCCTTGATCGGACACTCTAATGCCATTCTTACCGCTGTCGTCCAAGGTGCGCGCAAGGAGGAGACGAACGCCGAAGTGCGTTTCTCCGCCATAAGCGCACTTGGCGACTCGCTCGAGTTCGTTGGTAACAACTTTAAGCATGAAGGTGAGAGAAACTACATCATGCAGGTTGTTTGCGAGGCTACCCAGGCCGATGATGCGCGCATACAGCAGGGTGCCTTCGGCTGTCTCAACCGTATAATGGGTCTCTACTATGAGAATATGCGTTACTACATGGAGAAGGCCCTTTTTGGTCTGACGATTTTGGGCATGAAGAACGACGACGAGGACGTTGCGAAGCTTGCCGTGGAATTCTGGAGTACCGTGTGTGAAGAAGAGATCAACATAGAGGAGGACAACGCGCAGGTATGTCGCCATAGTCCGCGTTGGGCTTATAACTGGCTAACAAAACTTGTATAGGTCGATAGTGCCGATCAGATGCGCCCCTTCTATAACTTCGCCCGAGTTGCGACTAATGAAGTTGTGCCTGCTCTGCTACAACTCCTTACCAAGCAAGACGAGGATGCAACAGATGACGAGTATAACTTGTCACGAGCCGCATACCAATGCCTCCAGCTTTACGCCCAAGCCGTTGGAGCCAACATCATCCAACCGGTCATTCAGTTTGTCGAGCTGCACTTACGATCCGAAGACTGGCACTTCCGAGAAGCCGCGGTGGCTGCTTTCGGAGCAATCATGGAAGGGCCCGAAGAAAAGGTCCTCGAGCCTATCGTCAAGCAGGCCTTGCCCATCCTGATCAGCATGATGGAAGATAGCTCTACTTTCGTTAAGGATTCAACTGCGTACGCTCTCGGCCGCATTACGGATGCTTGCTCGCAAGCTATTGATCCTAGCACGCACCTGGACCCTCTAATTCGGTCTCTATTTGCCGGTGTCCACGACATTAAGATGGCAGCGTCTTGCTGCTGGGCTTTGATGAATTTGGCAGAACGCTTCTCTGGAGACTTTGACGCGACTTCCAACCCTATCACACCTCACTTCAACTCTAGTGTTCAGAATCTCCTATCTGTCACTTCGCAGCCGAACATAGAAACCTCCGTTCGTACCACTTCTTACGAAGTTCTCAGCGCCTTCGTCCAGCATGCCGCGACGGAGAGCTTCCCGGCTATCGCCCAACTTTCCGATGTGATCATCAAGCGACTCGAAGAGACCATACCCCTTCAAAACCAGGTCGTCAGCATAGAAGACAAGATTGCATTGGAAGAGATGCAGACGAGCCTGAGCTTTGTCCTGCAGTCAATTATCCAGCGACTAGAGAAGGAAATATCTCCCCAGGGAGACAGGATCATGCAGGTCTCGCTTCAGATTCTCAGCACGGCTGGAGCCAAGTCCAGCGTCCCCGAGTCGATCTTCGCCACGATTAGTGGGTTGGCGAACGCGATGGAAGAGGATTTCGTCAAGTACATGGATGCTTTCACTCCGTTCTTATATAACGCACTCGGAAATCAAGAAGAGCCCAGTCTCTGCTCTATGGCCATTGGACTGGTTAGCGACATAACTCGATCGATGGGCGAGCGCAGCCAGCCGTACTGCGACAACTTCATGAATTACCTCTTGAACAATCTAAGGGTTTGTCTCTTCCCATACTTTCTATTTTTCGCTTGAAATTTATTTTTATACGTCTGATCATCTATTGAACGATACATCTAACAAATCAGGTGCAGAGTACAACCCTCTCGAATCAGTTCAAGCCCGCCATCCTACAATGCTTTGGCGACATTGCCAATGCTATTGGCGGGCATTTCGAGACTTATCTATCTGTCGTCGCCCAGGTCTTACAACAGGCCGCGACTGTGACGGCTGCTCCCGACGGTTCTTATGAGCTCTACGACTACGTCATATCCCTACGGGAAGGTATTATGGACGCCTGGGGTGGCATTATTGGTGCCATGAAGCTGAGCGGCAAGAGTACGTCATCTTTCAGGATCATTTTGTATGTATATACTAACAATTGAAAAGCCCCAGCTCTCCAGCCCTATGTGCAGTCCATCTTCCAGCTGCTGAACATCATATCCCAAGATATGAACCGCAGCGAATCTCTCATGCGATCTTCAATGGGAGTTATTGGGTAAGATAACACGTTAATTTTCGCGTCTCGAGACGAACTGCTAATTAAGATATCAGTGACTTGGCCGATGCCTTCCCTAATGGCGAGCTTGCTGAAGCTTTCAGACAAGACTGGATCACTGCTATGATCAAGGAGACCAAGACCAACAGGGAGTTCCAGTCTCGTACGATCGACACAGCCCGATGGGCCCGAGAGCAAGTCAAGCGACAACTAGGCGGCACCCAGGCTATCATGCAACAAACCTGAGCTTCGCAATCGAGTCGTTTGAGAGTTATTGCCCACCCCACCCCACCCCATTCATATAAATGCACTACCTCGCGTCACCACACTTGATCCTCCCGACGAGCAAGCCCGACTCAGGTCTGGCCTTGTATACAAAGTTCGGAGGGGAACCCAGCATCAGAATTTCCCTCCCCGATCCCTGCACCAAACGAATCCCATGTGTATATAGATTCCCCTATTCCCCTATTCCCCTTATCCCTAGTAATCCAATACCCCCCCTGCCACCAAATTCACCTATGGAAATTTCCCCGTCACAACACACACCTACCCCATACACCAACACATTTTGCTGAGTTTTCCTTCGGTTTGGACTGCAAAGCCATAACGGAGATATGTCTAGTCCCTTTTAGAGAGAAGATCACGTCATGTACGCCCCTTTACTCCGGGTTTGGGGCCACGAATTCATGTAAGGAAAGGCGAAGGTGCGAAAGCAAAAGATAGAGAGGACGTTATTATGTCATGAGAAGGACATTCAGGCCCAGCACAACTCCGCCGAGGTTTTTTTCTAGTCTAATTCAAGTGAATAGACATGTTACGAAAAAGCCCAATTGGTAGTTCAACCGGCGGCGTCAAGGGATTCAGGGTCTGTTTTACTAGGACGAGCTATTTTCACTCGGTCCCACGAAGCACCCGGGCGCCCGCACAAGATTTACGAGAGGTTGGAACTTTTCGTCACGCCGGTCCGGGCGAGTTGAGCGTCGTAGCAGGGTTTAGGTTGAGGTCGGTTTTGTGATGATACAACCGGACCGGACTGGACTTGGGTCTGGCTTCGAGACTCGCTCGCTTTGTAACTATCACCCTGCGCGAAAGAGTTTGCAATGAGCAATGCGTGGGCATAGCTTTGCTCGATAGCGGTAGTTCAGTGCTGATATCCAACAAATAGAGGCAGTTTCTACCCGCGTGGTTGACTTTTAACTGAATGAGTGAATGAGTGGATGTACATGTGATTAGTTTAGGGCTTGAGATGTGTGAATGCATGTAATTGTAAGGAGATGAGCTGTATCGTCGTGGATTGACTTGTAAATAATAATGTCATTCTTGTAGACTTCGTTCGTCTTTGTAAATGACAATCGCCCTTGTAGTCTGCAAGTATATGGTAATGTAATGCTAGGCTGGCTGGTAATTATTATTAATATTATTATGAATCAATATCTTTGCTGTGAATTGTAGTTGATATGTAATCTAAGTTTGGGGAAATAGGAGTTGAGTGTATGCTACCTTTCGCCCCTATTTCCTCTCCCCTCAGATCCTACCCCCCTTTTCAACCCTTAGGTAGGTAGACGGGACTACACAGGAATGGTATGTTGTTCGCCCAGCCCGTATTCCCACATCCCTTTTTGATTTCCAGTATGCAAGGCATAATAATTTCAATATATCAATACGTTAGGTAGGTAGATAGAAATGAATACGGCGTCCTAAACAGGGATTTATAGGTAATTCTATAACTACCCCATAAGATACTCACTCGCTGTTGTCATAACACCATCGCCGAACACAGAACTAACCTCCCTACATTCGGACCTAGTCTTAGACTTAGATAATATAGATATGGAAATAAATAGATTGATAATAGCACCATAGGTATCTCTCAAAAAGCCGTGCGTACCTATATACAGCATAACTAAATAACCCTATCCTTTCCCGCCCTCCGTCCTCATATCCGTACATACATACAGCGTTAGAAGGGTGTGTTAGTCTTATTCCTATTCCGTTTCCCTTCCCAAATCCACGTCCAATACAAATCCCATTTGAAAACAAACTCCCGTGGACAGTTAGATACAGCATGGGTATAGATGTATATAGAGATACACGTATAAATATAATGAACGCTCTGAAAACAAATTCGTCATATCGTGTCGTGATACTATTCAGCATGTTAATCGCTACTATAGGACCGTAGCAAGTAGTAGCGAGTCTCCGGCAGTTCACCGAATAGACGCGGTAGGGCCATTCCGTAGTACATCGAGTGCTACTTTATACTACCTTGTCTTAAGGCTGGGGAAGATAACTAGGAATATCGTAGGTGCTATACACCAGGCCCGCAGGATCTACCGGGGGCCATTGTCCACCAGCACCATCGACAAGCATCTGTAAATTACTGTCGAAGCCATCATTAAGAACAGCGGCGGGTGGGTATTCGGAGTAATAAGCAGCGGGCTGATGTTGATACGGGTCCATTGTCGTAGGTGTTGGCATAGGCATATGGTGGGATGCTTCGGCTAGCATGTCGAGCCCGGAATTTGGATAGACCTGCTGTGGATAGGTCTGCTGCTGAGGCGGGTGATGCGGTTGTGGTGACGCTGATTGTTGGTGATATGGCGTCTGTGATAAGGGCGGGAGATAAACGGTCTGAGCGAAGCCAGGCTGTGTCTGCTGTAACGGCGCGAGTCGCTGGGGCTCTGGATCTTCCCTTACTGCAAGCTGCTCTCGTTCGTCTGCGTACGGTGTTGGTGGTGTAGAGCGTATCCGGCCGAGCTGCACGGCTTCAGACTGAACGTAGCTCGTGGTTGTTCGGGGGTGCATAACAGTAAGGGCATAGGGCTGGGGTTCTTTCTGTAGGTAAAGTTAATATAGCTGAACCTAGCTATTCGGTTTTTTTTTATAAGGCAGCTTACCCCATCGGTCATGGTGCCAGCTTGGAATGATATCCTCTTGGGATTTGGATCCTGGTACCATTTCTCCAAGCCGTTGCACCAAGTCTCGGCAAGAGGCCATGCTTTCTGGCACTCCCTTAGGATAGCTACGATATGGGTATACATATTGCGGCCTTCCGTTTGTATAGTATTGATACTTTGTCCTGCGTGATGAACATCCACTAATCAGACTTAGTAAACGAAATCCTTGATCGACACCCTGTCTGGGAGGGGTAAGACTTTACGTTGGGGGAATTTGCACAGATAAGATGCTAGCAATCCACAACCGTAGATAATAAAGCCCTATGAAGATTCAGTAAAAGTCTAACCACGAGATGTTCGTTGAATCTGCTCACAGCCATTTGGGAACCAACTCTCCCTACTTCAACCCCGGCTTCGTAATGAGCTTCGATTTGCGAGTACAGTTTTCTGACATTGAAGAATAGTTCTTGCGCCATGCTCTTGTAGAACTTAACATCGGAATGAGAAGGGTTTCCTTGAGCATGACGAATCATACTGATTGATATGTTAGCATAATCCGAAGCTCAGTGACAATTACGTACTCTTCCATGTATTCTTTACGGAGAACAATATGGCAAAGTCGAAGACAGCCGGTCATGCCAAGATACGCCTGATGCCAGTGTTATTAATACACTCGGAATAAGGGGGAGGATTCTGTTCATACTAGGTCTTCTGCGTAGTTCCTGTAGCCGCTCAGTGTAACCTTGTGAAAGGTGTGTTCATTCGGAAGATTCTGCTCAAAATCCAGAAGTTTTCGATTCAACTTGGTGTATTCACTGGAACAATCGTTGGGACGCCCACATTTTCTGTTAAAAAGAAGTCGTCGAGCGATGATTCCCCATAAGTTGTGGACCTGCATCAAGGATGCAAATAGGGACCTCGGCTGAAGTGTGGTAAGGCTTGGGTCTTGGAGGGCGGGCGGTGTGCCGTCAAGAGCTGCGCGCCGCTCGGGGATCTTACCGGTATCGAATTCTGCTTCGTCGCTAGGAAGAAGAGCCGTAATGTCGCCGGGTGCGAGGGATAATGGCTTGTATGGACCGGAATGAAGGTTGTCTTGGCCTAGCTATCCCGTTAGGGGAAATACAATGCAAGTTTATAGATTTAACATACTATGTAACATCCACTGTGTGCTCAAAAAATATCCGTTAGATTAGCCTCCAACTAGTCGGGAATATATTGAGGATAAAAGGCTGTCATATCGAATTGGGATAGTTCAGGGCCATTGACTCACGAATGTGCGTCTGGCGGACTCTGCCCGAACCCGGTGCTCTAGAGGCGATTGTTCTGTGATGGGGCTATACGCCTCCTCTCGATGGAGTCGCATCAAGGCAGCCATCCTGAAGGCGATACCTGCACTGATCTTTTCAAGGTCAATATTACTAAATCGTCTAGTTAACCACTCTCCTGAAGTCATCTTACATAGCTTGTATTTGATTTCCCGCTTCCTTGCTCGGCGATGCTTAGCACATAGAAAGCCTGACATCTTTCGAGGGTGGGCTGCTTGTAGAGTTCGTGAATGGCCAAGCACTGTGCTTTGTGCATAAATTCGGTTACCGCTGTGAGTCCATCACCGTAGGTCTCTATTATGGTCTTATTAAACCTAGCAGAAATAGCGAGAATACTTAGTAGTAAGAATACGTTGACAGATGAAGGGTTTTCCTTGACAAGTTTAGGAAACATCTTCTTTGGAATGAAACCCAGTTGGAAATAGTTCCTGGTAAAGGTATTGATGCCGTCTACGACGGTATCGACCCCTGGAAGAAGTTCCCACTCATTATCAGGCTTAGGGGGCTTATAGTCTGCAAGAGCATTGCGTGGGAGGCCCGGTGAAGCAGGCAGCTCATTCTTAACTTTGGCATCACTTCTGGCCTTCCTATCGGCTCTCAGACGCGGATGTCGAAACTGCCGATCTTGGTCCGAGTCTCCGCGATTAGGAAAGACGCTGGCATTGTGTGTCAGCTTGAAAGGGAATGAGGAAATTCTTAGAAATTGGAGTACCATTCTTCAGGCACATTCGCCTCTATACATGACTTGCACGGGGGTGCTTTGTCATGAATACACTTGCTGCGCATTCGGCGACATCTAAGAAGAGCCCGAGGTTTAGTGACGGTTTTACTACCTATCAGGACGATATACGATACCTTCGGCATGCAATGGGAGCGCGCCGCTTGACAGGCGGCGCATTTCTAGGGTCGGAGTTGACGGTACTAGCAGGTGTCGTCGGCTGCGGAGACGAGGAGGCAAGTTTAATATCGGGATCCGGCACCATGGTCATTACGGAGCTTGGTAAGACGGGGGCCGTTTAGCGTCGTGGGTACTTCGTAGGTCGGATCTAAGGTCGGATCTAAAGTCACACAGCGGTCCCAAGTTTGGTAAGAATCGGACCCGCGATGTAACTAATAACCAGCTTTATCCATCCCAAGGAAAGCGGCCGCGGCATCAGCAGCTAGCTAGCCCGGCTCTAGTTTTATAACTAGTCCGTCCTCGTGCCAGACCCGATGTTTTTGTCGTGGTGGATTATATATCACTCAATACGATAAAGTCGAAGATCGTCGGGTCGTATCGTACTTAATATATACAGTAGAACTTATGTTAAAGCTACTCTCGTATCACGTCGTATGCATTGGAAAGCCTAGAAATGATATAAGAAGGTTAAAAAAAGAATTGATTTGAGCGGTAAAATAATGATGGAAGATGGCTGGTCCACCCACGGAGCCCTACGGGATTATCAACCCGGTCGATCTCTTAATAGAAGACGAAGCATTCGCAGGCATCTCTGATACTACCCCCATAGACTTGCCCTAGCCTAGCTCAGCCTAGCCCCAGCTCTTTGGAGATATATAAGCGAGGCCGGGTAAGGCCAACGTTGCAATGCGGTGGTTCAGTCCCGTGCGGGGGGAAAAAGGAGGTTTGAGAGAGAAGCTGAAAATAAATTAGTTTAGGTAGTGTGTACCATTATTTTGTGTGGCATATTCCAAGGTTACAAATGTAGACGCTTTGACTTTAGATCCGACAAATGCAGATTGCGGTTGCCTTAGGTACCTGTTGCATGCAAGGCAAGTACATCCATTGGATATACAGGTATGTAGTGTAGGTAGTGTAATTGCCTATAAATATTGTACCACATCGCACAGATAAGGTATAATTCGGCATATGACCGGGGACAGCCGGGGCTAAGCATTCGGTCCGCTATTTTATCGGTTCCCTTCCGATTAATTCTGGGGGAAGGAATGCAGAAAAGATGCAAGTAGGTACGTGTAAATCTGCGCTTACAACTTAATCTGCATTCAACCAAGTGTTTCCTATGTATTTCCTAATTATTATAGTAATATACATCAAGATATTCCGGGGCCCAGGCTGATCAATGCTACGCTCCCGAGACCGGACCCCTTGCCCTATATTTTGATGCCTGCCACACCGCATATCTATCAAGGGTCTGGTGCTCGGTACTGGAATATGCATGTCGTATCGACTCCACGATGATTTGCTTTAAGCTTAATTTTCTGGGTTCCCAAGTGGTTACGGTAGGCTACCTAACACGTATGGCTTGAACAGGTTTTTTTTATCTAGCCCAGGGATAAATAACTTTTGCATCTAGACGGATCCAAGTCAATTATACCGATGGTCTAATTTTAGTTAGGATCAAAGCTCGTGCTTAACATTTGAAGTTATCCCCTCAACTGGCATAAAACAGCAAACCCATTATTTTCAGTATTGATACATCGAGGTTGGCTAAAGAAGATAGACTGGTTCTATATTATTACATTAGCCAATCATATTTATTATAGAAATATATTACAAGGGTTTTTCCTTTTATCTTAATGAATCGCGTTAAACTTCATGTACTCTACCGAATATCGGGTTTTTGCTATTTTATGCCAGTTAAGGGGGTATTAACTATATATTCTCGCTTCTTACTCACAGTGCCTACTAGTATACCCACCCACTAGGAAGCAATCCGGCGTAAATCACGGCTTACATGTCAACGACAAAAAGACGAGGCTATCGCAATTACCTCTACTTCTAAATAGGAGTCTTGTCCACATATAATAGGTCAAAGTCCGAATTGGGAATGAGTAAAGGAGTGGTGGGTATGATAATTTAAACAACCCTGAAATTTACCTATGCATACGCGCCATTCATCTACTTCGGACCCGGCGATATGGGAATGCCCTCGTCTTAGTACACTAGCGTATTTCTAATATGGTGTATTTTGCTGTCTCAAGTTACAATGCCGTATAATATACTTAGCTGCGAAGGGGGATCGCTTTCTGGATCTACCCAAGCAACATAGCAGGCCATTTAAGGTACAATAGGTACTTATCCCCAGTTACAAACATCAGTGTCGGAATGGAAAAGTTAAGACATTTACTTAGACTTATTTTTAAGTATTCATTAGATATCAGACATTAGGACTTATCATGCAATAGCATTTCAGCGCAATATATATTGCTAACCATCATATTATATAACTCGAATTTCGGGTCCTCCGTAGCCTCGTCTTCGTAGACTACGCTCGGCCCGAAGCGCCCCAAGCCTCCCCCCTTTGAGCCAGCGGCAGCACGTCCATATGATAACCTTGAAGCTCCGGTTCCAATCCTTATCCAAGGTCCCCTGAGGCGAACTCACCCGAGCCTGGCAGCTCTAATCTACTCGCACTCGCCCAATGCAGACAAAAATAGCAAAACTCCAGAAAACACCAGCCCGCTAAATGCACCAATGCTAGCCAGTACCGCGACCCATTCGCCGTGGGTCGCCACCCTCGGCTGACTCTAATGACTAAGGTAAGTGTTATACACAAGGGTCTAAGGGCCAGCGCTGAGAAAATATGTACGCGCGAAAATAATGCCGTGGCTGATGAATGAACTTTTGAGCGTGACAAAAGGAAATGGGATATTAGGTTGATATGATTGTTGCGTCGAGGATCATTCTGACGCCTCTTTGCTAGAAGCATCAGGTATTGTATCAGGTATTGTAAGAGAAAGTTGTTGGTTTTTTCCCGCGTCTAGATCCGTAAGTTCTAGGTGTTCAATCGAGTCTCCAGCGCTACCAGCACCCTGGTCTTCGGAAGTAACAATGACATGTTCCGACTTATCATCTTGATTAGGCTCGGTTGGCTTCGGAGTCGATCCGGATTCGCTGAGTGTGGTAGGTTGTACGACTTCTATCTTATTTTCGTCGATCGAAGTCCTGTTCACGTCCTGGCTATTTCGAATAGACGTTTCTTCGGCACTGCTGGAATGTATATGACTAATAACTGGGACGACACCACCTCCTATGCGGCTCCAGAACATTTGGTCCCGCAGTCGGACACTCTCTTCCCAAGCAGCCCGTTCAGACTCTGCATCCTCTGCACGCCAGTGTCCGTCTTTCACCATACGCAAGAAACCGAGGAAATCACATGTTGACCTCACACGATCAAGGCAGTATTTGCAAAGGGGATACCGCTGGGCAGAATCCGACTCGCTCGTCCGGAAACGATGATTTCGCAGGTGTGGCTCGTCCTTACGGGCCTCGCCGCAAAGCGAGCAAGGATAAAATTGGGGTTTGCTGATGGATTGGAATGGGGAAGTTGTAGGAACTGGTTCTACAACAAGAGACCCCTCGGTCATGGCGCTGAGAACAGACCGACGAGCAAGCCAGGAAAGGCCGGGTGCCGTGTCGAGGCGCAAAGTCGGTTCAATATCTTCAGCTAGAACTCTTTTATAAAATTTAGTGTCTTTTAGTGATGGTAACGGGGCAGAGGAGGCTGTAGATCCTGCACTAAGGATTGAAGCAGGCGTGTTCGGTGTTTGCGGAGATGTGTTAGAGCTTGATGCTTCGAATGTAGATAAAGAGGCCGTTGACGAATTTGAGGGAGCCGAGGCATGCCTAGAAGTAAGGCCAAGAAGAGGGTTAAGTCCACTATAAGATCCGGACGAGGCGCGACTATCAGACGCTCTCTTCGACGTCTGTACCAGTGACATAAAATCATCATAGGCATGCAGATCGGTCCTCAACACTGGGTGTATAAGGTGTGGGAGATTTGTCGGGTATGTAGGAACAAACTGCTCTGTGACAGAATGCGGGCCACCTTCGGATATTTGAGTATCGTCGTCTCTCGATTCGAACTTGCTAAATCCGGGAGATGAAGGCGCGGTACCACAATGATCCTCGCGCTCGATCGTCATCTGCTCCATGACAAGTTTGAGCTCCGCTAACTGTTCTTGCTGCGATCTTAAAATGCTTTCGGTATCGGCTAGCTGCGCTTTTAATTGTTCATTTTTCCGGTGAAGGGCATCCTGTTCTTTCTTAGCATCCTCTTTTGCTGTAATAACCATCCTGTTTGCTTCTTCGAATAAGGAAACTGTTAATGTCTCGAGCTCCTGTTCGATCTTCTTTTTATCCTTTTCGACTTCAGCTCGTAACCTCTTTTCTTCGACAATGCGCGCGAGTAATTTGCTCTTTTCGCTTTCAACATTTTTGCGTTTAACCCAAACATCACCGGTCAGCATTTCCTGTTGTCGTGCTACTGTCGCCTCTAATTCTTTAACTCGTTCTCGGGAAGCCTCCAATTCTTGCCTTGTCGCCGAGAGCGTATCGTCGAGATTAGTTTGGTGATTAATTGCATTGATGAGCTTCGTGCTTAACGCGGCGACTTCTTGATCTAAATCTGGATGAAGATTACTACTCGCAATAGACGCGGCGCGCGTTCTAGGGTCGGGAATAGTGCTGTGATCCTGATCCTCCATGAGAGAGCTTTGCGATGCCATTCTCCTAGGTTCGGGCACACTAAGAGAATTAATGTTGGTCGCCGGCGGCACCATCATCTCGGTAGCTATGTTTGACGAAGAGTGGGATTTAGCCGGGGATCTCGACCGGGAAATAGCAGACGGAGACATGCTCGAGAGCGATCGAAGATGGCCAAAGGTACGCTGCGGGCCGGGGCTTGGGCTCCGGTGCTGCGACCAGGCGGCGACGTGGATGAAGCTGAGCCAAATCATATTAGTATTGCGCACAAGAGGAAAGGCTTGATTATATATGGTATTATTGATATTGGAGTGACCATGACAGAATAACTCTGGAGCAACTATAGCGATCTGAAGCTATGCGACCCGCGCTAAAAGGTGGACGGAACTTACGACTCCAGCTTGACGACTGGCGGACCACGAGGTCCAGAAAACGCCACAGGCCTCTAATGTGTTTCGTGGAATGAATAAATATTACAGCAATAATGGCGGGATAACAAGATTGATTTCGAGGACTAAGATGGGAATCCGAAGGTAAAGAAAGAGTTCATGGAGGCGATATCGTGCTATTATTGGGGGTTATGGTGAGACCTATGTCGTAGAACCTAAGACCAGCTGACCATCGGCAAAGAGTAAGATGTACGGATATATGCGTAAATACGTAGTTCAAACTGTAGTTTCTTCAATCAGCACGGTGTCTCCAAAGTCGTAAAAGCGAAAAACGAAAAGCTAATGGCCAGCCAGGCACTCGACACTGGGTAGTTCGCGAGCTGGTGATATAGAAAAGAAGACAGAGTCTCCCCGGTGAACTCGGCAAGGCGATGAATGAACAGAGGGATTTGGAGATTAGCGTTAAGATAGAGAGCAATTGAGCGACTGAGGAGCATGCAGCCTTCTTCCCATGTGCTAGTGGGCAGCTGCGGAGTTGGTAGGAATCAATGACAGGCCTAGGCGCTTGCGAAAAGCACCCAACCGACCTATCCATGTAAGTGGACAGGGGGTATCACCAGCCTAAAGCAGAACCAAGGTGGCGGCCGTAGTGTATTGTCCAGGGGGTATCCAAGATGTAGTTGTACAAGTATGAAGTAAACTGTACCTTTGGGGGGGGGGGGGTTGTCGCCGTGATCGTACAATGCCTAAGGCACTATGTGAATTGTTGGTTCCCTTTTTTTCTTCTTTTTTCTTTGTTCGCAAGATAGTTAGTAAAATAAAACCCCCTCTCTTATGGAATGAAGCAAGAGAATTTCCGATTAAAATTCCAGCAATAGAAAGAGCAAAAGTGTCGATTGAATAAAGTCGAGGAAGAAACAGCTAAGCAATCTAGGACCAGCGCTAGACACGAGCTTCGAGGTGTTGTTGTTGTTGTTGGTGGTGTTGATAGTACAGGTTATGGGACACGAGGAGTGGTGGTGGTGGTGGTGATGGTGGTGGTGGTGATGGTGGTGGAATGATTAATTAATGAGCGCAGTTTGAATTAGGAAGTATTAGGATAGGTACAGGTGGTACAGACGGTAAGTTAGATTGTACAAATGGTAGTATAAATGGTAGGCTACTGCTGCGGCCGCCACCACCTTTATTAGGTCGACCCTTAGTAAGACCTTGGAAAAGATCGAACGAACATTAGGAAGTTGCAATTGAACTCCTGGAGATCGTTGTTGAGTTAGGTAGGTGCGCGCATTCAACAAACGGAACAACCTATCGGAGCTGATAGGGCATGTGCGCTCGTGGGCATTGCGCGTGCTGGCCGTGTTAGCTGGTTGGCTATGCTGGCTTACCTCATGGTGGAGATACTCTTTTTCAGATGTACCTATTTTCGTTATGCACGCTATCTTCATACATATGTATGTAAGAACAAATAAATATGTACTAACCTAATGCAATATATGTCGTCATTGTCTTCCCGCAAACAATTACCTACAAATGGTTATACCTATTGATGTATTGATGCCCATGTGGGATTGGGACCCCAGCACAATTAAACTATTGCTAGTTTCATTCTCTTATCGAAAAAGCATGCCTAGTTTCGTTCGAATTGAGTTTATGACGAAACCTTGTTTTTCCCCATCGTCGTCATTGTCGTCCCAAAGCGTGGGTTTCGTTTATTTCCAAGGTTTCCTTCGCACAGTCGTCGCAGATATCTTTGCTAAAGAAATCGCTACCGATAAGCAACATTTGCACAGTATATGTAAATTCCACCGTGGCGCGGCCGATCTAACAAGGTACAATACATAGGCTCCGTACTAAAAGAACAAAGACCCTCGGCCAAGCAGAAAGCCTGAAAGCCTTGCTGCTGTACCGAATGTGTGTATTTTCCCGCCTGGGCGGATCCTTTCCAGGACCGTCCAGAAGTTACCTAAATCGGCCCCCTCACCCACGGTAGGCTTAGAGCTTAGAACCCTCTTCGACGCATGCAGTTGGCCCTCCGAATGAAGAGAGATCTTTGGGATTGCCCATCGTATCGACCCCTGTCGCGTTTCTTCAGCGCTTATACTTTTACACTATGTACAGATTCGACCCTCGTCCGATGCTCCTCACTTCGCACTTCGTGTTCTCCCACCTCCACGCCGCTGGTCGTCAATTTACATATTAAGAGTGACAAATACGACCAGAATTGGCTGCAGATGAGGGGCAGGATGAGTCCATCTGCATTCGATACGACAATTTAGCAAGGCAGCCTTATCGATCCCGTCTCCTCCTAACAGATAACACATACTTACACTTACTTACTGCAAGCGATCTTCAGGAGATACTAATGTAGACATCAAAGTAGAGGTACTTTGTAAAAGTTTCGAGGTACAACCTGAAAGCAGTCATCCGGGAGCCGCGGTTTTTGAATAGCTCTACATACCATCCTTCAAGACAGACAGCCGAGCGAGCCTCGAACCTCTAACTAAGAGATCCGGCCAAAAACGCATGATTCTAACGAATCTAGCCCGGTCGTGAAGCGTCTTTATCCGCATGACTGCATGACCTTCGGGTCCGTCTGTGGGTTCGCCTGAAGAGCGTCTTTTTTATGTTTCTACAGGGAGCTTCGTCACTCTTCATATATTTGACAGGGACAAGGCACGAATATCTTCATCCCCCAAGCAGCCAAGTTACCGTAACGGGCCCCCATCGTCTCTCCAATTCCTCTCCCGCCCAATCACCCGTGCAGTCAGACGGGACGTTGGGTAGTAGCCCGCTGCACGCAATCAATTTTATCATTCAGGCACCACGACGGGAGCGGAAATCCTCCACCATACAAACTGACAAATACATAACCAATATTGGACCCATAGAACCTACGCCATCAAGACAACTTCGTCCGCTCTCGTCCATAAATGTTCTCCATCCGGTCTGCAAGAGGACCAGAGGACCGTGCGGGAATCGAGTGGGTAGCATCCCGCGCGCCCATGTGCGAGGCGTTTCAAGACGAAATCTGCCTGTATCTATTTCCGGACGTCAGCTTGGCATCTGAGACCTACATACGCTATTTTCCCCATACTATCGTCCGGATTTTGTCAAGTTCAATCGTAGCGAACCAACAGCAAGCACCATTCCGTTTGTCAAAATTCTAACACTCGAACCCTCATCACAGCCACCGGTATCACTTATATGCCGCCTCCCGCGCCGCCTTGTCCATCCATCATCACCAAACCCACTATCAACCAAACAAAACCCAGCCCGTTAGTGCAAACGCATCAGTCCACGTCCCACCAAGGAGCAACGTCATCCGGCTATCTGCACCTAATTAGCCTCACTTCTGGGTTTTCACGTGGGTTCCAGATCCGCTTATCTGTTCCTGCGTCTGCTACAAACCTAATCTAGTCCGCTACTTCGGGAGCAGATCGTATCGTATCGTATCGTACTGTCAGGCTTTTCTACCGGTTTAGCGGTGTATGTAGGATGCGCGCCGTGACCCGTGCCGAATTCAGTAGTTTGAATAGTTGTAGCCCCAGATATTTATGTATGCATAAGTCGTCTCCCAGTGTAGGTTCATCGACATCAAGTAGTATCCTCCCGTCTTTATACCTCTCGCCCCCAGACTATCATGCTATACATAGCGAACTAGCAACGTCAACAGCGATCGTGTAATTGACGTGGTGCTCAGCCAATGAACATAACCAGGTATTTTCAGTAAAGCCACCTATCCGCCCCCTACGGCAAGGACCCGTCCGTGTTACTTGACACTCGGGTATATGCTTACCTACGTGACACTCTGCCTTTACACGTTACTAGCTCAAGCAAGTTTAAGCACAGGTGAAGCCCTAGGTACACGTAGTATCAACTTCCAATTCCATCTTTTGATACGATACATCAATGTCGTTACCCAGATACCCAGTCTTCAGATTCAACCCATCAGCAAGCAGAGTTAGCATATCACATAGGTAGGTATGTCTACCCGCGTATCAATTCCTATCAACAATTCCATATACCAGGCGTACTCGGGCCAATATCCCTACACGGAATCTATAATCTAGGTAATGAACAACAACCCGAAGAATAAACGACAGCCCCAACTCCATGCTATAATGTGTCTACTCGCTCCTCAATAACCCGATCCCCATTATAATCCAGCCCCTAAAGCCGCCTAGAAGAGTAACATTGGAATCCCGTGATAAGTAACGACTCTCCTTAAGAGCAAGGGTCGCTTTCCCCTATTCACCTTTACGAGCAAAACATCTCCCATCCAAGTTTCTCATCAAAACATCATCGGTATCTGGACAGCCAGCCTCTTGATACGGAAATCCGCCTTTCTCAAGCCTTTCGTGAAGGGAAGTACCAAGAAATTTTGGAGTCTACGTCGTACCCGCCGCATAATTCCTTTGCAAAATTTCTCGCTGCCCTCGTCTACCTTCGTTCCGGATAACCGCATTTCGTCCCTGTATGTCTTCGCGGTATCTGCTACTAGGACTACGTATCGTAAAGAATACGCCATGTAGCACAGGAACTCTTTCCGTACTTCCTCCGTCGTCGTATACTTGTACCGCCCAGGGTCGAGGAGAGGAATGTATATGAAGCTGAAAGAGCCTTTTTCTGATTCGGCTGGTCCTGATATGGTTATGATTCTGGTTATGAATCCGGATTCTTCGTATCTTACGTATCTTAAGATCGATTCCGAGTCCTGAGGTGTGCCTGTGCTAGAAGCTCCTTGGACGACTTGAGCCATTCGTTTCCCCAGAGTAACGAAAATTACAGGACGAGTAGTTCTGATGTAATCCCACATCCGCGCCTACGTTCATATAAATTAGAAACAGGCGAGGTTATCGAATAGACTGAGAAGCTTACACTGTACTCCTCCATATGCCTAGGGTCGAACCGCGGATACCAAGGCGTAAAGCAATAAAAGGGGACAATATTGGCATGAAACTCATTCTTCTTCCCGCCCAAGATCATCTTCTCGATCAGAATCTTCATAAGCGATACATCAATAGTTGTCCCCTCGAGGTACTGTTTTTCGTATATGATATCACCTGGAGGGATGCTTTTTACAGCAAATGATAGTATGGGTCGCTCCCCTTCAGGTTCGAAAGGGACCGCCTGTTGTATGATAGCATCGCGCGCCTCCATGGTCATGTCGATCGGGAAGCTGTGGCAATTGCTTCTAGACGTAGAAGCTACGTATATATGTTCTATCAGCCGCCTGGACTCGTTTTGTATATGAACGGAGGAGCAAGATGTTGAAGTCAGGGTGCTTCCGCGATATGCAGTTTTGAAGAAGCCGGATTCGGTCCAGGGCAAGTGATGAAGTTCTAAGGGCGGTTCCCGGTTGCGGTTGAGAAGCGACTCGGTGTTGAATACCACGAGTAATGCCTGATATATTATATCATTCCAAAACTCTTCCCCGTGACGTAGCGGTCAGGGAGGATGTGGATCTGGAAATTGGCTGCCACATCCGGCAAGGCCACGCGTACTCCCTCTAGGAACTCCGGGAGAACTCCAGAAAAGGGACTACGAAACTCTTCTCTTATCATCTGAAGGGTCGTGCGTGGTAACGGAGCGTCTCCTGATACTGCGCGGGAACCAATATACCGGACGGTTAGACGATTGTCAGGTCCAAGATTACTCCGCGAAGTGACAAACTTCGACCATGTCTGCAACTCCTCGAATGTAATCTCTTCCCACTTGAGATATTCTATTAGACGGTCGAGTTCGGCCGATGAAAACGACCACGACGCTATGAAAAACACACATCCATTTCCGATTACCTCAATATCTTTCTCCTGGTTAGGTCTCTTTCGTACCAGTCGGATAATCTTGGATAAAGAATCGTCCGAAACGCCCAGCGGGCAGGTAAACAATTGCTTCCAGGCAGAAATCTGGTCTTGCGTGTACGAAAATTTTCTTAGATTTGGGAGTTCGGGAGGTATCAAACAGCCGACGCCGACCTTGTCGAACACGATTTTCATAAAAGCTTCGGTTTTGATCACGGGATCTAAATTGCTTCTCGACTTTATGGGCAGTAAGCTATCAATGATTCTGTACTGTATTCCCCGTGTCAAGTTCTCCAGTGCCGGGTCAAATTTTCTCAGCATTCTAAAGTAAAAGAGGTAAGGCATTTCTTCAAGACTTAAAATTGGGATGCCCGGTTTGTTTGGGAGGTCCATGTTGTCTATACTGTTAAATGGCGTAAGAGACCTATAAGTACTCCAGGGGCCTTTAATGATGGTTAATTTGAATATAATACAGATGTCTTGATACTTGTTTTGATGCTTGATCTATCAGTATTGGTGACCAAATGATGTTGAAACTGCAGCAATGAGGTGTGAAAATCTACCTTAGGTACTCGTGCATTATTAAATCTTATGGGCGTATAATATAAGCTTTAGATTTGAAGGCACTTAAATAGATAGTAGTATTCGCAGCTTCTTTACATTCAACTTGGCTTCTGTAACGGGTAGGTATCGCTCCTCCTTGTAACCACTAGTTACTACATACATATGATGAGGTATATAGGAAGGTACATGTAACGGTATCTCACAGTCTAAAGCGATATGTAGCCTTCTATTGGGGATATAAAGAGAGTCTATATAGTTTTACTACCCCGTCCTTTTATGTAAAGCCTTATCTCAAACTTATGTCCTAGGCCCAAAATGCCGTTAAGGGTTGCATAAGTAAACTGGGAATTTGCATTAATATTGATCATCAAACCTACATCCATAAACGACGAAGAACATGAATATCAGCTTAACCTAAACGGAAATCAGTCGCTACCGGGCGGTCCCAACTACACCTTCGAATATCACACCTCCCGCACGGCTGCTTTTTTCCCGTTTGATTTCTGCCTCTTCAAGCGGGAGAAGGGGTCCATCCTCGAGTACGAATCGTCGATGCCATGCGCCGACAAACAGGCCATCGGGATCTACGCTTTCCCGAACCTTTCGCCACTGACGTAGATTGCTGCCATACATGCTTTCGATCTCCGCGCCGTCTGTCTCGAAGTTCTTGGCCCAGTGCGGGCGCCCGCCTAGGTCCCGCATTAGCCACTCGAAAGCCTCGTAGTACCGAGCCCGACACGGCGGGTCGCTGTAATATGGTCTGTAGAGGGTAGCGTTGAGATATAGCGTCGGACTGCCCTCGGCTGTCGGGTCGAGATATGGCCTGCTGTTCGGCCTTAAAGACTTTGGGTTAGAAGGCGACGTGTTGGACACCCGCACTTCGACGGGCGCGTGCACGTAGAGCCCCTCGGCCGAGAAGGGTATGTTGTGGGGTACGTAGTCCGGATCCGAGGGGGGAAGCTGGTTAAGCCAGCTGCTCAACCGTCGGAGAGCCTCGGGGCCCTTGTGGAGAGGAATGGCCCATTCGTTCACAAACTGCGAATATAAGCAGTTCATCAACAGTGCCTTGCGACTGGGCTGGACGGCACCGCTAGTCGTACCATTTCGGAACCCGTACTGCATGCCGAAAACGAACCACTCGATCCAGGGGAGAACTCGCGGGAAAAACTGCGAGGCATAGAGCAAGTTGTGATAGACGTAATAGCCGAGAGTGTTGTCGTAGTACGATTCTTTGGGATTCACCAGCGGCTCATCCGTCTTCTCCGCAGTCCATACTACTGCGCGCCGGGTATACGGGTACCACCAAACCCTGACGAACTCGGTCTGTGTCCAGAGATCCCTTTCCCACGCATTGAACATCTTCACGTCAGCATCAATAACCTGCTTCCACCGTAGGGTGAATTCGGGTACGGCCCGGAAAGTAACCTCAGTTATGATGCCGAGCGCACCTAAGGAGAGGAGGGACGCCCGAAACAGCTCAGGATCGTCCTCGGAGGAGCAGAATTTGGTGGTGCCGTCTGCGACGGTTACGCGCAAAGATAGGACATCCTCGGACATCAGACCATGCTTAAGGCTCGAACCGTGAGTACCCGTGGAAATAGCGCCGGCAATGGACTGCTGGTTGATACTACCAAGGTTCGGCATGGCGAGACCGTGCTTCTCAAGCTCCTCGCAAAGCGCATATAGTCTTATGCCCGATTGCATGACCACGACGCCGGTATCCGTATCTACCGACAGTATGCGATTATACTTGTCGAGATTTACTAGCCAGGATGAGGTGCAGGTCAGCGAGCTGGGCGAATGGCCGCAACCAGCGGTAGTGAGACGACGACGACATTTGTGCGCAATTCTCACTATCTTCTCGATCTCAGGTAATGTCTCCGGCTGAAAGTAAAGTTCTGGCCGCGACAGGAAAGTCTTCGCCCAAGTGCTATGGACGTGATTTTCCTTGGCGCGGAAAGGAATGCCATCGGCGCTCCCAGCGAGCTCAGAGGCGACGAGAGGGTCCATTACACAGGAGCCTACGTCGATGATATAATACCAGTATGATACGCGGGGTGCTCTTCTAGTAAATTTAGAGGGGGGGAAATTCTCCAATATCGATGTTAAAGATTTTCAGGGTCCTGTGGAGCTGAAGGGCCGAGATATCGTGTGCGTCAACTTATGCCTCAATCACCGCAACCAGGTACGAGGGTGGTCAAGATGAGTAAACATAACAAGTACAAGGATGATCTTTAGATTATAAAGCAAATAAGACACTAAGTTAACAATGGTTCGATTGATATGAATAGCATGTGCAACATAGGAATGAGATGAGGGGTGGCATTTGATAGATGCATTCTAGAAGACTTCCTAACTCGAGAATGTTAGTGGCGTCTTGGCAATGCAAATGCAGTCGTAGATCTTCGTAACCATTGAGATATATGATTGGTTTATCTGAATTACCTATATAATGCTATTATTCCGACTATTGGATATTGGCTGGAAATACCTCATGCATGTACAGGACACTATTAGAAACCTTACTGATAGATGTATGTCCTTTGGGGTGGTTATGCCTTAAACGAAGCCTTTGATCGTATGAGAATTCCTTATCAGATCTCTCGGGAATACCCGAACAATAAAAGCCCTAACCTAATTGTTAACTTGAGGATATCACACAATAGTTTCTTTACATTGTTATGCCAATCGCTTCTTACTTGTGCTGATATACGTAACGACGGAAGATCAAGTTGACTTTATACTTGGACATTATTTTTAACTTGTATTAGGTTATATAAGTTGTGGTAAGTATCACGTCAGAAAACGTCCATTCTGAATATAGTTTTATTATATTAGGCTAGGTAGTCATAGCTAAAAGAAATACCATTACCTGTTTGACAACCGAGGGTTTGTATTCGAGTATTATATTTGTAAACGGGTACATAACCGAAGGGCATATATAGTTTTTACAATTAACATTGTGTATTACAATAACGTTGACAAGTTAATAATATTAGGTACATAATCGAGAAAGCAAACGAGATATATGGGAACAAGTAAATGAGGTCTTCAAACACTACAACAACCTCTCCTTACTTAATTTGAGCCAAAGAGTTAAAATACTTTACGAATGTAATTGCAATTGTAACTAGAGAGTTGCTCTAACTGCCTTATATACCTAGGCAGGCAAGTAATGATGAATGCCTGGACATTAGTATGTAACAATTAATCAAGGTGTGCAAACGGCAAGGTATAAATGTGATACGTGATAATTCAAAAGAGCGTTGAGCCTCTTCTAGTATACAGCCCTACGATCTTAAAAGTACATGCAGGTACATACACGTATCATATGCAACGTGTAAAGGTGTAGTTTAGGTAGGTACCTAACGCACCTGGCAGGGTACCTAATCGACGCCATTGAACTAGCAGCCATACGTATGCGCTGTTGGCCCTAGCTATCCTATGCAAGTCCAGCGCGACTTCCTCAACAGCCAGCACCTTCCAGGATTTAGAAAGCGACCACCATGTACACCTCAATGTACACCTCATATTTTTATAAAAAACTTCTACAAAAACTTCCAAGTTTACAACTTAGAGACAACTCAGCAGTCCCACCTTCATCTTCCCCCCTTATCCCTCAAACATCCTCAGCATTATTACGATTCCCACAAATACTTATCCGTCGTGAATTAATGAACGTTAACATTGTTGGGGTCCTATTGACCTATAATAAAACTGATATTAAGGCCATAGCTTTCCCTTTGAATCGATTAGACGCATCAGACGCGAAACGCGTCACGCGCCAACCCCCCTATACCTCCCTAACCCCTTTTCACCATGTTCTACAGCCACGAAAGTAAGTCTTGACTCCTTAATAACCCTTTACCAAAATGCGTAGCCATCACTTACACCATGCCATAGTTCTCACAAGCCGCCAATATGGCGTTGCGACTATATGGTAAGTGCTTTGTTTTTGGTACTCTTCCTTAGAGTCTCTCGCCTGCTATGTCGGGAAACAATATATTAGCTCGGCTAACGCGTCAAAGGCTTGTCGCGACTGTTGGAAATCGTTCGAGCACTAGGAAGGTGACCCGAAAAGCAATACAAGAAGTTGACGTGCAAAAGGCATGTGGAAAGATCATCGAGCCAGGCGCGCCAGTTGCCCTGCGCCTCCAGGGGCATCTGCTCTACGGAGTATCACGCGTCTATAACCAGCAATGCTCCTATATGCTTTCCGACTTGCAGAAGATCCAGGCGCATATGCATATCTTCTTTACCAAGTTTGGTTCGAACCAGCTCGACCCAGAGGCAGGACAAACCAGGTAAGAACTATAGGCGCTCGAGATGATAGATGGCGCGCGAGAAACTGGCTGTGACTGACTGGTTATTCGCCAGACCAGAGAATATTTTGATCATGAACGATCCCGATTTCGTACCGGACATGCGCCTTCCGCACTTCGATCTCGACGCTTTAGTAGCAAGTAGCCAAGCGACCAATAAGACATCCACTCAGATGTCTCCTCTTGACAGCACCCTCCTTCCAGGCTCGGGTAGTCAAGGCGCGGGTTTCAACATACATTTCGATCTACGCCATTCAGATTCCCCCGGTCCCCAAGGATCCCCTTTCGGTCTTCAAGGGCTCTCATCCTCGCATAAACCCGAAGCGGGTCAATTTATTATGGACCACATTATGGACCAAGAGGATGAATTTGCAGGAGCAGGTGACTGGGGAATGGAGATAGACGAGGACGGAAACATCATTGAGCTGAACGAACCGGCCATAGTCCAAGACGAGATGGAGCTACCTCCTCTCCCACCAATGGAAGACGAGAGCCAGGAACATGTGAATCGCGAACAACAGGATCAGCAAAATGTTGATGGCGAAGGCGACATCGTCATGATGGAAGGAGCGCAACTAGAAGGAGGAAACCCCCTAATGGAACAACCGCAAGATGAACATAGTGCCTTCTTAGATGATATTCCCCAGCAAGCACCTTCCCGACGAAAGAGGAAAGCTCATATGCCGGTTGTCGACGAAGAAACGCAACTATCAAGAAATACCTTAAGAGAGTGGCAAAGGGAATATTTGGACAACTGTGGCGGAAAGAAGGGGCGAGCCGGAGTAGCGCAAGCAAAGGCAAATGCTATGCTACTTACATTCGGCCTTGGTTTAGGAAATATTGGACAAAACCTGGGAGTTCCTGGAATGGTCCATCCACTAGCCCTTGACTTCTCCGGAGATTCCCTATTCACCGCCCTCACTGGACTTGGAATACTTGAGCAGTCCCGTGGTAGACGTAGACGCCGATCTGCAACCGAACTCATTAAGGATGACGAGCAGGACGAGCGCCGAGTCAAGCCGCGACTTGATAGCGAAGCCGATCAGCAGGGCCGTGGTATAGAAGATGATTATGTCTTCGACCAAGACGCACAAATAGTTCATAGTCCTTCTGAAGTTGGCCGAGATGCTCAGGCACCTATGTCCGACCATCTTTCTTCCGCCTTGCGTATGCCCTGGAACCGAGGCTCGTCTGCTGTGCCGGGATCATCTATTCGCGGTTCCGCGAAAAAGGGCCGAATCCCATCCAGTCCCCTGGCAAATCGCGGTAATATCCAGGACATCATGCGCTTTAGCGACGGCCCAGCATTCGGCGATGACGGCTTTGATCTAGGCGGTCTCCACTCAGAAGGCGACTCCTTCGACGGGATTCAACTAGCAGAGAACGAAGGAGAAGAAGGCGAGCAGAAGAAGGAAGATTGGCCGACTATCGATATCGAAGGAGGGAATTTCCTCTCGTACATAGACTCGGCGATCCGCGAGAACGGCGAGCGTCTTCAAGACGAGGATTTCGAACAAAATCGCAGATGGGTCGCCTTCGATGACGTGTTCATCCCCCGCGAGACACCGCGCGCGACAGCCGCGCAGGCTTTCTATCACACTCTCTGCCTGGCGACGAAGGGTAGATTGCAAGTCCAACAGGACGGCGAACCTAACGTACCTTTCGGCAGCATCTGGGTGGGCGCCAAGCTAGCTGATACTGCCGATGCTGAGGTGCAACTGGAGAAGGACTAGAGTCGTACGCATATACATAATATCCGGGCTCGTTGCTTCGGTTGGGAATTCTTCACCGACGTGTATCCTTATTACCTACGTCCGGTATACCTTATACTTAGGTAGGTAGGTATCTACTATTGCGATCGATGATAAGACCTCTGCTGAGGCTAGACATGTGAGTGCGAATGGTGGTTCACCCCGCTTCTAGACAACCCTACAGTACTAACACTTACGCTAGGACCCGAGGATCTAAGCTGGTGAGATTCGGAAAAGGGAGATGAATTTGCGTTGTTAATATTGCTCCAAGAGAGTATGGTATGTGTTGGCTTTCGAACTGGTATACTAGATCCGATGGATGATAAACGCTAGCCAGATCGTTTGACCGGATATCGCGAGGCAAGATAGGTGGTCACGGTCTATAATTTGCGTCGTATTCACTTGTTCAATGTATGTACGTTTAAGAAGGTCCTAGGTAAGCTGGCTTTGTGGCTGGCCTAAAGGATGGGACCTAGCACAGATACGGTACGTTGACTTAATGCAAAGGGACAATTAATATCAGTTCAATTGTTCATTCGTGGCTTATCTAAGATAGGTAGTGATCAATTGACTATGTACTCACACCTAAGCGGACTAAGTAACTAATCGTAAACCTCCTCGTTGTCGCGCACGCCCTCGCGATCTTCGAATACCATATACTCGTCTTCCGAGGCGGTATCGCCCATGACTAGTTTCCAGGCATCTTTAACCGGGCCCAGACAACCGTCGTCGAAAGAGAGATTTAGAGATGGCGATGGGAACGCGAAGGTACGAGTTTCCTCGCGGGTTATGCTCGAGGGCTCTCGCGCGCTGAGAGATTGCTCATACTGTAGCTTGTACAGACATACGGGCGTTCGACTTCCCTCGGGAGTAACAGCGGTCAGAAGATCGCTTAGAGCTGACTCGAGCCGCTGTGTGGATTGAGGACTTGCTAGAGTAGTCAAATATATTACGGCTATACCATAGAAGCGATGGTTAGCTATATCTTCTCAATTTTCATGCAGGAATGAAGATGGAAAAAAGAGAAGTTGGTGCAATCAGTTTGTCAGAGGTTGTTTTCCTCAGCGCGAAGCTCGGACAATGTAGATAAGTATTCGTTATGTTGGATCATCATAACACCAGAGAAAAGTAGGGGGAAGTATAATGGGGAAAATGAAAACTTACTTTGACCGGCGGGACATTCGCCCGTTTCGTGAGAGTGAACAAATGCGTAGATTGGGCTGTCACTCTTTGTTGGACCTGGGAAGGCTACCACAGCGACAGCTGGGGTCGGAGCGCCTTCTACCACAATCTCAAACAAGGATTTGAGGAACGAGTTGACTACGGCGATGAGCCGCGTGATGGTTTGCGCGCCAGGAAGAGCGTCCTGTTGCGAAGTAACCAGCTTCGTTGTGCGGACTGATATTCCATTTGACAGCTCAAGCGAGATCTCGTGGCCGTCTGAGCTATCGTTGACCTTTGCTTTGGTATCGCACATGTAAATGCCGCCGCCTACCGCTCCGGCACGACACGCCACCTGTGCAACCTCCGAAGAGCCACCCCATTTGGGATATACAGCGCAGAAGCCGGGACCGAATACGCCCATAGAGGTAAGATGACGATTAATCGTAGCCAGGCCATCCGCTACCGTAATACGACCATCCAGCGTCAGAGTCAAAGCGAGGATATACTTCTGTAGATCCTCGCCTAGCTTGAATTCACTTGCTAGGAATTCCGACAACAACTTCTGTTCCTGGCCCTGCCAGACAGGCTTCTGCTCCTCAGAGTCGTAGTCGATGACGAACTTGAGAAACTTCATCAGAGACCGCTTGGATTTGACCGGTATGGCCTGCGTAGCGAACACATCTTCCCGACTACTGGGAATTCGGGCTAGCTTCGAGCTGGGCTCGCTTGCTTCTGCGTCGAAGACGAAGAACGAGCCAACTGCGAGGAACTCGACTTGCCTGTACGCCCGCGACGACACGAGCTGCTCTATGAGCTTAGAGCGGGTATGAATGATTTGGGGTGCTAGGGCTAGCGAGTATGCTCGAGGGAAGGATAGGCCTAGGTTCGTCGCATCTGCATGCTTCCATACGTTGGCGTTCTTGAAGATAGGCTGTTTCCCCGCTGTCACATGTTCCTCGCTGTGTTTAGCAGCCCAAGCACCCGCCTCCTGCAGACTAAAAGCAGCTTCATGCTCACCGTAGTAGTCATTCGGGTCAAGGTGTAATATGCGTTTGTTCGACCGCGAGAGAGCTCTTCATCGCGGAGGCAGACTGGGTCAGTCAGACGAAGCTCCCGACAATACGTATGCTACTCGAGAAGAGGATGATTTTGCTTACAGAGCCAGTAGCGACTGCTGCAGTCCAGTGCCGCAGATCACCACGTCCCATGGCTCGTCTCCCAAGGATTCCGAATCCATGATGGAGGGAGGAAGAAGAAGGTCATGCAGGGTTTGCTTTTGGAAAATTTGTAGATGGGAAATGGAGCTTAGGTCGAGGGTGGAGCCGAACTAATTATGCTCGGAGGATGACTAATACCGAAGATCCGACAAGTGGATCCACCCGCTAGCTTCGCTAAAATGGCTTGGACATTTTTTTTTGTCGCATTTTTCTTCTTTTCAACAACCACCGCTCGCCAGTATCCAGCGTTCTGCTCCTCCGAAGCGCTACGATACTGGTAATAGAGTAGCCTTTCAGTAGGCTGCTCGCTTGAATGGGCGGGCAGACCAATTAGTCGTCCCGTATCTACTGTCCTGGAATATCGCCTGATAGGATAGTTCGAAGGGTTGATACATCTCATTTTAATGCTGGCTTAGCAACAGTATTATTCAATAATAGTCTCCTGTTATTCAGTTCATAGCTTTCTCGTAGTAGTTTCGTATCCATTCCACATTTAGGGTATCAGTAATTTCTATTGTAAGACAGCACGGAGCTCTTTCCACCGTGTTGCGGCTACAGTAGCAAACTCTCTCACGAGAGCAGGTCCAACAACTGTTCCGCCACTCTTAGATATCGTCAAGACCTTTGCTTCTCCTTCAGTATTATCAACCACCATCGTCACTGTCTCATCGCACAAGCTCTCCTCCAACCTGTCCGGGTCTACCAGGATCCAGTACTGTCCGCCCCCTTTCTTCTGTCTCTCCCTTGCTGTAAACACCGCTGCTGTGCAGGCTACTGGTAGCCCGCGTATGCTTAGCGGGGTCGGTTCCTTTTCAGTTGGCCGAGTGCATAGCACCAACTCGCGGTCCACATCCCAATATGCGTGGGGGAGCTTTGTATCTCGTAGAGCAGCTAATATTGCTGACCAAGCTACATCGAAGGGGTTACCGTCGAACGAAATGAATAGTACATCAATGTACAGCACCCAATACGCCTTGACTTCCTTCGTTATTTCACCAATATCTTCTTCAGTATCTTCTCCACCTTGTATTTCGGAATTATCGTGGTATATTCGTAAATCCTCCGCATTCAGGAGCTTCGAGCTATGCAGCAGAGAAAAAAGGCGTGTGCTCAGGGTCTGCGCAAGTGTAGTCGGTGGTACACCCGGTAGGAAATTAGGTGCGCAACCAGTTGCTAGTTCAACATTCGGTACTAGCAGATCATAGTCTCGGAGTTCGTCACCAATCGTAGCATCATCGACTTGCGGTGCACGATAATTGGGGATCTGAGAGGTGAGAATGGTCTCGCCGCGAACACCACAGATGACAGTTGTATCGCCGGATCTGACTACAGCACTACCATGCGCGTGGGATAGGGATGAAGTATTGACGCTGTAGGGGCGCGCCTGGCGTGGTTGTCGCCCATTTGTGCGTGAGGACGGTGTTGATGGGTCTGAAGGCTGGAGGTTCGCGAGGAGGAACGGATGCGGGGAGAGCTTTGCGAAGGTCGCGCTTGACAATGTTAGGGAATTAGATGCGGCCATAATTCGTGCTAGAGAGCCAGACTCGGACTCTGAAGTAATTGACCAAAACTGGCGATTTGGAATTTACCAATGCCATGTAATGCACATGTAAATGTTCGGAAGGTTTGAAATTTGAGATGGACCCAATGGGCCAATACAGCCTTGCGGGGCCCCTGGTTTAAAGAGTGGAACAATTGAAGTCATGACCAATCAATGATTATTAGCCCATAAGGCTACAATTTCTGTGTAACATTCCGATAAGATAAAGCTGAATTACACCAAAACGCATCTTGTAACTTGTAACTACGAAATAGACTCTTGAATTTCTACATGACAAATCCTAAGACGACCTCTGAAGTGCTGCCATTAACGGGGCACCATCCATATAGTACGCAGCTTGTTTAACCCGTCCTCTATTTTCCCCAGATGTCTCCAAGCAGACGAAAGCAAAAGCAGGAACCACAATTGTCTCCTTTTCCGGGTCATTCTTGACTTTCCATGTTATATGGCATGGCTGGTAGATCTTATTGTCTACCATGTCTACCGCACATAGCTGTTAGTTACTTGTATGCATTTTGAGATTGGTGTATATCAAATTTGGTCTTACCAAAACTCTCTATTTCGTGGTGCATCATCTCTAGTCCTGCCCAAGTTCCCCCGAGGAATTTGCGTAGCCCATCTAATCCGTCGAAAAGGGGCATGTTGCCAAACTGCACTTTCGCATCTTCCGTGTATATATCCGATAGTCTTGACACGTCGAGGGAGTCGTTTGATTCGTGAAACTTGGGAGTATTAGTTTGTACCTCTTTCTCAATAGGGTCCAACTTACCCTGAGAAGCCATTCTCGGATCTCGGATTGCGTCGTAGGTACGAAAGCCATAGTTCCAGATATTCCTAATTATAGGTATTCTATATGATGATACCAAGGAAAGCTATTGATTCCCAATTGAAATACTCTAGTACTCGCTGTCATACTTATACTTTTCCGTAGTGCCCCCTGTGACAACTTGAGGCTGACTAAATCGTGATGACCATTTTCCTCTTTAGGAAAGGTTAGGTTTAAGGGGCTTGTCAACGAGCCAACCCTATTACAAAGAAGCATCATCATGAAGACCTTGGTGTGAGGAGCATAGAAGAGGCTGGGCACTTGCTATTTTAGGATCTCTATTATAAATCAAGTCGTATATCATCTAACTCTATATTCAATAACTTACCCAACCTTCGAATTACTAAATGACATTGACCCCTCCCCCTACCAGATGCAGCTAACATCCCCTTTTCAATAGGGCTTTACTAAATGAGGAGTATAATATCTGCTGGTTAAGCCTTATATACGATGGAACTTATAGTATATTCCTGCCATGGTTTACCTAAAATCAGAGCCCTTATAACTGTGTCACATCGCTTCAAGTTCCGACAAGACTTGACACTATATGAATATTGGGAGCTTTATCCAACGAAGGCTTATTCTAGTAAGTAAACTAGCCCTTGTATAGGTTACATAGCTACCTATATGAAGCTATCATACTTGGTATGCTATCTAGACAGAGCAGACTATCATGCGTGCCTAGTAGAGCCTCTATTATAGATCCCTCATTTAAACCCCAACAACAGGTACCTACTGCCTTACAAATCAGCAATACTACAACGTAAACTCTAGACAAGTAGAACATCCAGGGTAAAAGTACATGGATACCTCTATTGGAAGTCTAGCCTTAGATAGCTTAATAATTATTTATGCGATAACATAGTTATTTCCCTATTACTTCCCAACCATGCCTTTACAGGGAGCACGCTTGGTATTCCCTATGATAGAACAGAATAATGATCAAGATCCCAACACGGCTTGGGCACTTATATGTACAGTAATATCCTGGTAGTTGGTTTTAAACACCTGGACACATTCACGAGAATAATATCATGCCTACTGCTGTTCAAGAATATAGCGACCTGCTGTATGGAAATATCCTGTTGAGTTTCTAGCAATAAATGCTTAGTAATACGGAACTGGTGTTCAGCAGATACCTGATACTTACAGTTTTGGGTACCTTAGGTAATTTGTAGGTTATGACACCGATGATAGACCTAAGTATCAGGAAGGCAGGAACTTGTAAGCTGTTGGAACAAAGTAGTTTCTACGGTGAATCAAGTCACGATACTTACCTACCTAGGTACCTTGGATACTCTTTAGACCTTCCTAGGTACCTAAGGTAGGTACACCCAAGACAGTCAAGTAAACAACAAAATCTCCTTGCAAAGTAAACCTCAGGGTCACTAGCGCCCAAACACAGGCCTTTCGCTAGACAAGCTATTCCAAACCGTCATAAAGAAGGTACGCCGTGAGGCCTTTTTACGACGCGCCTTCCAGTAAAACTTGTTTGTGAATCATCATTATCACAGGTTGCCTTAGGTACCTTGTTACAAAAGTTGAAGCCTTAGAAAACTTCTTATGTTGACCGTGCACCGGGGACGCTAAGGCGTGATCTACGGATAGAGGGAAGGAGCTAATACGTACCTGCTCTTTTCTAGAGGGTTTTCATACAGTATTGACCGATAATAAGGCCGCACGGACATGTATTTTGTAGAAAGTGACATGATTCACGGTCCGTAGTTGCCTCGTAGTTGCTGTCGTAGTTGCTATCGTAGCCCCGCGGCTGCCTCGTTCCTTCTTCCTCTGTTGCAGTAGACAGTGTTTATTCTACCGAGGGCGGTGAAAAGAAATCTGTAGACTGACTGCGATTTTCTATATAATCCGGCGGTCCCCCCTCACCTTCAGACTTTTTCCTTCTTCCACTTCCATCTTCATACAACTCAGACTACAACTCAGACTTCAAACAACATATCTCATACAACCTTGAGTCCCTTATACAACCTACCTACATTTCAAACAACCTACTCTATTCATTAACAACCTTACATACTCACCTCCCGACCGCCTACTTAATGTCGGTCATCATACTCTTAACTTACAACTAAAACCAACAAACTTTAAGTATAACTGCCGCCCTCTTCATATAATAATCTTACAGCGGCTTGGCATAGTAAGTCTTGTCCACCCTGTTCTCATGTACATTCCCCCATCTTCCTCTGTTTTATCCTTATTCTTGTCTCACTACCTATTGCTGGTTCTCTCTTGTACCCTTGTTTCCCTCACCTTGCCTTTACACATATTACCTTTACCCGCTTTATTATCTCGCAGTTCACACTTGAGTCCCATCATCTCTCATCTTCATATACTGCCCCCTCTGCCCCCATTCCCCTCTTTATTCCCCCGCGCCGTATTTGTACGGCTTCTTACTCCTGTGAGGCCTATTCTGACTCGCCTCCTTCTAGCCTGCCTCCATTTACTCTATACTCTCGTCCTTTTTATAACGAGAATATACTACGTTAACACCCTTCGACTTAATCTCCCGAAAACCATGGGACTCCCGAAAACCATGGGGCTCTACATAATTCGGAAGTCATTAAACTATTACTTAACGGTATGCCTTAACTATTAAGTGTTATATATCATTATAACCATGCTAACAGATCTAGTAATTACTACTTAATCTAACTTACTGCCAGCCAACCGCGGCGGAGAGGGATTACCTCGGATGCCTGCGGGGTTGAGCTAAGCCGCCGATACGCGCTTCAAAAAGCACGAGGCCCTATGGGGCAACAAGGTCTTGCCGTCTCTCGATCGTAATGAGATGGAGAGGCGGTACAACGCCGCCGATACACGTTTCTTTAAGAAACGTAAGGACCGTCACCAGAGTGCCCGCCGCGACGGCACAACATATCTGGAGACTGCTGCTGAGTTGTTCTGGAGATGGAAGAAGGAAGGCCAGTAAGTTAGGCTAAATATGCGCTGTCTTTATTGTGATCTTGATCCGCTAACTGAAATGCCTTAATTTATAGTCAACCAACCGCAGTCGAAAGAGACTATCTAAGGGTAGTCTGTGAGATTGAACTCACTAACGCGGACGGCGCTGCGCTTGCGAAGCCAGCGACCGGCGAATTCTACCACGAGGTGTTCGCTTCTTGGTTTAGGGTAGTGGTGGAGGTGGAGGAGGAGCTCCAGCTTCTGGCCTAACATAACTTTCGAAGAAACGTATCATAAACTTAACTTCTGTAAATATGGCGGACCGTGAAGGGGCTCCGGCCTCCGGCCTGTTCACACTTTCGAAGAGAAAGATGGCAGATCGCGAGGGAGCTCCGGCCTCCGGCCTGTTCACGCCTGAGTTGGCGGCTCGGGTGGTTATCGCTCTGGTTGGGGTTCACATAAACCTCAACTTAGCAGCCCAGCCCGCTTCTCAGGATGTGCGGGAGGGGGCTGTCCAGGTATTTCGCCAATGCCTGGAAGAGCTCGGCGCTGAGCCCATCGCTGCGGTGCCCGCCCAACCCGCCATCCAACCTCCCATCCAACCTCCTATCCAACCTCTAATCCAACCTCCTATCCAACCTCCAATCCAACCTCTAATCTCTAATTCAACCGGTACCCCAGCCGGCGGCTCAGCCAGCAGCCCAGCCAGGAGCTCAGCCCCAGAGCTCGCCGAAGACCTAGAGCCTAAGCCTCTGCAATTACTTATTAATAATGTAAGAAACAAAAAGGTTCTTATTTTCGTATAATTAAAAACTTACTAATATATTTATGGATAGATCCCGCCGTAACGGCATAACATATTTAAAAACGGCTACCGAGTTCTTCTGGAAATGGAAGACAAGGAGGCAGTAAGTTAGCTTGAATATATTCTGTTATTTCTTATAATATTGGTCCGCTAACAGATTAACTTATAGACCAAATCATCGCGCATGGGGGGAGTCAGTCATACGCTATCATTAAAAGCAGAACTCCGATAATATAGACTCGATTGCCCCCGGCTGTTGTTGCGCTCCATGGCCGTCGCATCCGACGTTGTCATTTGAGGCCTCATTTACAACGCTGAACTTTAAAGAGTAAGAAACTACCTAAACTTCTGATTTTACAGACAAGGGATGCTTCTTAACTCGTCTCCCATCTTTAATCTAAATATCAAACTTGATGGAGAATACCAAACTTGATGAAGAATACCAAGCTTGATGGAGAATATAGCATGAGATAGCTTGGCTTACATAAGATAGCTCAGCTCACGTAGACTAGTCTAGTGAAAAAACTCCATTCTTTCATTTGAACTTACGAAATACAACTTCTATTCCACTGCAAAGCCTCACAAAACTCTTTAATGATTCATAATTGTATAAGCCAGGGACCTTAGAGGCTGTTTGGGACCATAAGCAGTGTTTTGCTTATGGCTCGTGCCAACCCTGAGGCATAAGCTGGCTGAATTATGTCTCGATTGTGGGGCGGTTCCCACTTTAGTTTAAACGAATCAGTGCTGTGCATAAGCTATTGAGTGTTTGTGGCCTTATGCTTATGGCTTTGGCTTATGCGTTAAGGCTATTGAGGCTATGTATTGAGGCTATTCCCAACCTTATCGTCGCTACATACCTAAATTCACTAAATGCGCTATAACGTATTCGCTAAATGCGCTATAGTTACAGCGTGCATACTCGCTGAAAATATTATTTTAGGCCCATGTTGTGGTTTACTTATTACATGCACTGTAATTACAGGGCATTTAGTGGCTAATGCGCTGTAAAATAAGTAATAAGCGAGTCGATAAGCACCTTTAAGGGTGCTTTTGAATTTTTGAAAATCATCAGCGAATCTTTCGAAGTTTATTAGATGCATGAAAAAGTACTATGGATCCTCCCATCAGCCAAATTTCAGTGGGGATAAGTTAATCAATACCTCACAAACACATTGCTGATACTTATGCTTATTCCCCATAAGTTTTTTCATGCTTATGCTCCCAAACACCTTCTTAGCGATTCTATTAGGTTATAAGGCTGGTGGGGTAAACTTATGTATACCACCTTTTAAGGTAATTATTAGTTAAAAATTAACCTTTTAACATCTTGGATCGTATTTTATATAAGCTGTGGTGGGGTTACGTACTTAAAGTAGTTGGAAAAGCTTTGATATTAAAAGACTTTACTGAATTAACATTAGTTACATCCTTAACAAACCTAACTTAGTAATGGGTTATTTAACTTGATTAATCCTTCATGTAACTATGTTACCCTGCTTGTACTATACGGTAGCACGTCTTTAGGATAACGGCGGGATGATCTGCATGTCATAGTAAATCGGAGACGCGCCATCGATACTTATTCCTTACTGTATACTGTGAAGTTACATGCATCTAATAGATCGGGTAGCGCGGGATCTTATGTGTCTTACGTATGTTAATAACAGCTGTTAAGTAATAGAGCCGAGGGTATAAAGCTTCTGTTCATCTTAATCGGTGCGCGAGTTTTAGTTTGGTTCCGTTCGGAATTCGACATATAAGCTCTTAATGAACTCGGCATGCCGAAGATATGTTGATGGTATTGGTTGAGAATTGCCGCTTCATATCCCAGCAGTTCGGGACACATGTTAAAATGGCTGCAAGCTATAAGTCTATCACACAATCACAAGTTTGTAGTTTTGGAGAGACATTTTGACATTTGTCGTTTAGGTATTGTACATAGGTATTTGGTTATGAAGACTTGTTTAAGCTATTGGAGCTCGGGTGGAGAAGTATGTACCTACATGTAGGTACCTATGCAGTGTATGTAGTATATGTAGATACCTAAGCATGTCAGCAAATCAAGAGACGCGATTAAGCGCCAGGTCCTATTTGCTTTTTGCTCCAATCCCGTGGCCTCGTCATCCCAAGCCCGCAGACCCCACGGGTTAATTTCCCTGCTCATATCACTGAGCCCTAGGGGAATACAACCGCTTCCGCTTCTTATTCGACAGGCCTTGATTGAACCTCGCTTGGCCCCAAAACCCCAATCGGCCGATGGAATTAGCATGCTAAATTATTGCGTGGTCATTATCAGAGTGGTCCAATGGTGTAAGCGGCTGCAGCGGTTCATCGGTTCATCGGTCGGCCAACTTCGACATTCGGAGCACAATAACCGCCGAATGACGACAAAAAGTATATCACGTACTATTACGTACATAGGTAGTAGGTACGGGGCAATCTTTACGGTGTAACGTCCCTTTTGGAGAGAAGTCACGATTGAAATCTTATCCTCCCTTAGCTTTTTGAGTAAGGAAACCCTTGTTGTCTTTACCAACAAGCAATTACAACAACAACATCAACGTTCTTATTGACTATCAATACATAATATATTATATCGCTGCTTATCACGTACGGAAGCTTTTCCTTGCCCGTGGATCTGCATGATGCGAATGCAACGTACTGCATACATATGCACAACTTAGCACATAATAATGGATCCTTGCCAACGTACCGGCACGGCACATCCTCCCGTGAGCTAAGTACAGTTAGGTATTAGCTTCTTGTTCCTTACAGCAGAAGAATACATACGTACCTAGGTAGGTAGTGTATGTACAAAAGTCTAGCGCCGACGCTTATTCCGTGGAACGTGCAGATGGACTAGAACCCGTGCAGTTCTGCGGGGAACAAAATCTCCCATTTCCCATTTGAACGCCGCGAACGACGCCGGCAGCAACCAGCCAATATGGAGGTACGGCCAACCGCTGGGTGGTGGTCCTGCTCATCAACCGATTGCAATCCACACACGCCCACACACACACACATACACACACTAGCCTTGACCTCTCTTCCCACGAGGCCAATCTCTCAAAACTCCTATTGGGTATCCTGCAAGGAGATCGCAGGGCCTAATGTGGTAGTTGTGTGACGGAAGAGATTGACAACCTTGTTGCATATTTCCGCATATACTACTACCTACATACAACTTTTACTTATTTTACTCATTTTACTCGACTTAGCCTGACTTAACCTGACTTATCTGTCCAAAACGGATCTAATTCCCCACCCCGATGCCCTGTCACTTCGATCCTACATAGCTATTCCTTGCTCGCTTCGATATACTAATATATACTTACCTGTCTTTCCCCGGCACTTATCTCCATTGTCGATCCGGGATCCTTTTTTTTTTCTGCTTGCCCTTTTGTCGTCGTCGTCAGCTTGTCGCCATCTTATTCAATGGCTGCCATTGCTATCCTTCAGTGTCTCTTAATTCTGTGAACTGGGGAGTCTGGCATTCCTCATCACGCGCAATATCATAGGATTTCATTCGTTCCAATTTACTCCCAGGGTTATACCCAGTGCCGATGTCAGCGCGTAAAGACTGCTACCAATTCTCACCCATGTAGCAAGGAAATATATTTGTAGGAATTAAGAGTAACGTGGACTTTCTGAGAATTAAAGGTCTCGTGTAAGCCAAAGGTTCGGGAGCTGGCCGGCATAGTAGGAATTGGGGGCGCGATATTAATGAACCTGTCGCCGCTTCCCATCTATTCACCCTAACAATGACCGGAAACACAGCATCAGCCGTGGCGGGAGCGACGAGGACACTTTCGGAACTCGCAAAAAGGATATATATCCCATTAACGGCGACAAGTCCGCCAGGCCTGGTAGAAGCGAATACGGTCGACCCGTGGAGTCAGTCGGGGAAGTATGGGTTGGGATGGACTTACTTCAGTCTGGCGCTGATGGCGCTGGTGGTATTGGTACGGATATGGCATTGGTGGCAAGATAAGATTCGACAGGCGATATATAAGCAAGAGGTGGAACAGCATTACCGAGATCTATACAGCCTCGACCCCGAGTATGCGTTGCCGACAGCCATGTACACGGGCCAGACTGGAAGACAGTTCTTCCCCGAGGAAGCTGGAGCTGGAGGTGGCGAGAAGAGGGATTTCAAGCCCAAGTCCGACTTCTCCGCCGTCGGGCCCGTCTTAGACACACTCGCCCTCTTTAGATGGGTTTTCTATAGGCCCATACCAGATATCGTGTGGAGGAAACATCGGTTTACGTTTTCGTCGCTTGCCGTTTTGTTCGTCGGGTTCGTCGCGCTGGCGTTCGTGTCGCTATACGTGTTCCTCAAGCAGCCGCTCTATTGGGACAGCATCCAGTACGGCTCGCCTCCCGTGGCGATCCGTGCGGGTATGATAGCGATTGCTATGACCCCTTGGATCGTCGCGACTAGCATGAAGGCGAACTTGCTCACGCTTATCACGGGGATTGGGCCGGAGCGACTTAACGTTTTTCACAGATGGGCGGGATACCTTTGCCTATTCCTCGTTCTTGTGCATACCATTCCGTTTTACATCCAGCCTGTCTGGGATGACGGTGGTATGATAGTTTTCTCGAAGCTGTTCCCCGAGGGAAGTGGTGTCATATATGGTACTGGTATCGCATGCCTAGTGCCGTTGCTTTGGCTCTGCGTTGCTTCACTTCCTTTCATTCGTAGGATGGCTTACGAAGTTTTCGTCACGCTCCACGTCCCGGTTGGGTTTGTGTATCTTGGCTGCCTCTTCTGGCACACGAAAAACTACTTGGCGTCTTGGGACTACTTATACGCCACGATAGCTATCTGGGTGTTTTGCTATGTCATTCGAGCATTCAAGCTTAACTGGGTCAAGCCGTGGAGGATGTCGTTTTTGGTGGGAGACGAAGCAGCTATCACCCTGATGACCGAGAATGCTATTAAGATAACGATTCCTACGCAGATGAAATGGAAGCCCGGGCAGTATGTCTATCTACGAATGCCCGGCATCTCATTCCTTGATAACCATCCGTTTACTATCTCGTCGCTCTGTAGCGATGATTTTCCTTCCGAATATGGCGAGCAGTATAGAGACTGCACCTTGGTATTTAAACCCTACGGTGGGTTTACGCGACGAGTGCTGGAAACTGCTATTGACAAGGGACCGTTTCATACGTATCGGGCGTATCTTGATGGCCCGTATGGAGGCATGCGCCGGGAGCTGGCTGCGTTCGACACGTGCATTCTGATTGCCGGTGGAAGCGGTGTGACTGCACTCATGTCGCAGTTATTGAACTTGATTAAGCGCATGCGAGATGGAAAGGCCATCACTAAGAAAGTAGTGGTCGTATGGGCTCTTAAACGACTTGAGGCGATGGATTGGTTCCGAGAAGAGTTGCGCATTTGCCGAGACTCTGCGCCACCGGAGAGTGTGACGTGCAAGTTCTTCGTCACGGCAGCTAAAAGACAGTCTCGGGCTCCGCCTCCTCGTGAGCGTGGGCCTCGGCCACTCAGCAATATGTTTCATGATAGATTAGACGGATTCGTGGCGGGTATTGCCTCGAAGCGTAATTCTCAACTAATAAGGGATGAAGCGCAGGGCAACCCAGACTACGAGCGTGAGCTGCGGGCAGAGGATGAAGACAGAATTACTGCCCTTCCTCAACAAAAATACCTGCAGCCACACCATATCCCGCCGCAAGGTCCACCCCCTTCAAATCGCTTCTCTGCCCAAGAGGAGTCTCTTCGCAGACTCGAGGGTCGGGATCTAAGCGATACTGAACATCAAGGGCAGCCAGCACCGGTCCCCGCGGACGAATATCCCGAAGACAAGCCTAAGCGAGAATTCCACTTCCCCCCGCTCCAGACGCATCCGGACAAACAACCGCATTTCAGATACGCGCCGCCATCACCGCGGCGATTTCCGCCGGCTCCCAGTCCCGAGAACGCTACAGGCGAGCCCTCTGAGCCTGTTCTCCGCCCGCCTGAGTTCGCACACCTGCGCACGACGAACCTACCTCCAGCACCAGTGCCGCAAGCGCGCCCTACGTCAACGTTCGGCCCGCCGTCCGGATTCGACTTTGGGTTCCCGGAGACGCCGACGGAGTTCCAAAAGAGCCTAATGCGGTTCGCGTTTCCGGTGCCACACCAGATCGACGGGGGCTGGAGCGTCGAGTACGGGCGGCCGGACCTGGGCTACATGCTGCGGGAGTGGACTACCGGAGGGTCGGACGGGAGAGGGATTCTGGGCAGGAGGACTGCGGTGTTTGTCTGTGGTCCGCCGAGTATGAGGGAGGGAGTCGCGACGACCGTGGCTAGGTTGCAGGCGGAGATTTGGGGCGATCCGATGCTCGAGGAGATTTTCTTGCATACGGAGAACTATGCCCTGTGAGGGAGAGCAAAGTGGGGGAGAGGAGGAGTGGTGTTGTATATAAATAAGAAAGATGATATCCTGGACGAGCGATGGGCGTTTGGGACGGATGCGAATGAATGCGAGATACCACGACCCGATGAGGGCTTTCATATACCAAGTACATATATATTATACCTCGATACCTGTCTGGCGAACCAAACCAGACGTGTATTTATAAGATAGGATAGGTTAGTCTGGTTGGTGGGTGGGTGGATGGGTGGGTGTGTTCGACGATACTATGTATATTGCCTCTGGTCAACTGACCGACGGGGCTAATGAGCTAGCTAGCTGCTATGTTATATCACTCCTATATACCCTGAATAATTAATACGTTATGAGTCTATGTCTACCTATTGTTAGTATGTGATTGGGGTGGGTAGAAGAAAGAGAGAGGAGTAGAATTGGTAGTAGTAGCTATTATGCGCCATCTCCCTCTTCCCTTATTTCCATTACCTACCTAGATTTGAGGCTCTGCGAACTTGTATCCATGCTATGGCTTTCCTCCCGTCGAAACTATTCTGATGTACATATTTGAAGAGTTGATTTAACGACTAATCGCCACGTTTACCTTCCACAGTAAATAATCAACCTAGGTCTCGATATCGTAGGCCGCTTGTCTTTTTAGCTACGACGTACGTCCGCCTGCAGACCGAAGACGCCAGCTAGGTTAGGTAGGTAATCGCTTTTCTCGCCCGCGCCGTTTAGATGGGGAATTATTATCGCAGTTATTATCTGATCACGCACTGCACCGTCGTGAGGGCAACCAACTGCCAGCCCGCCTGCCCGTGCAGGTGGCAGCCCCCCCAACCGGACGCAGGTGCAGCAATACATAAGGAGCGGTTGCAAAGGCACTTTCAACATTCGGGGGTGCCAGCCACGAGACCATTTGGTGTAGTGGTAACGCTTACGGGGCTACAAAAGCTGACGGACTCAAACCGCAAATATGACATCTAATACTCGACTTCGGTCGATGCAGACGGCATGGTTCGAGATGTCACTTCAAATATCCTACCTGGCATTCCATTTTTTTTTTTTTTCTTTTTTTCACACTTTCAGATAGTGATCCCGTGGGTGTACCTTGGTACTTTACCATACCTAATCGCTTCCTCTTCCGCGCCGTTTAGATGGGGAATTATTATCGCAGTTATTATCTGAATACGCAGTTACTAGTTGTATATATACCTATATAGAGGGCGCATTTGCGCGGCGTGGTTGGCCGCTTTGCGTTGGGTACCTAACCCTTCTTGGGACGAGTTTACGGGGTTGTGGTTGTTGGGGAGGAATGGCTGCGGCGGAATTTCTACCTACGCACGTGTTTTGGACGCTTTTGGATAGGTAGGGAAGGGGAGGAGGAGGAGGATATGCGGGAGTTGGATATTTGGACTGAGGCTATGGTTTTTTGTTATTGCTGGTTTGTTTCTTTCATATCTAGGTACTCCCTCCATCGTAACGAGGCGTGCTTCCCAGGCCTTGTTCGCCTTCTCGCCCAGGCGCTGGATAGGTAGTGTCTACCTGGCCTGACGCACGCGCTGCGTTCTGCCTCGCTCTCATCCGGGGCGCGTTATTTCGCGGGGAAGACGTTTGTGTAGGTATTTGGAGATTGGCCTGGTGCTGGCGAAGACGCGGTGGCTTTTTTTTTTCTTTTGGAGATGGCGCCTTGGGATGACTAGGTACTTATAGTATACGGCTTTGACCATCTCGACGGCGAGTAATTGGACACTGGCTACCTCCCATGAGTAATATTTTTGGTCTAGCTTTTGGTTTCTGTTGATTCCAAAACTCCCCCTTTTCTTGTTACTTATTCACGATTTGGCGGGTGCCCCTTTTTATCCCTAATTCGTAACTCCTACCTCTTTGGTTTCTAAAGGGGTGTAGTGTTATAATTATTTAATGCTTATTCCCATTTTATATCGAGGAACAAGACTCCCGTAATTAACTTCACCTATTGTTGTCTGGTTTGGTCTCTTACCGGCAATACTTTTAGGTAGATTACTGTTCACCTTTTAGATTCAGATATTCGCTTAGTGCTTTCGGTCTATCAGAGTAGGTACTTTTAAGCGAGTACCTCAGTATGAATATTGTTTCTTGCGTATGTTATAGTGCCATCACGTTATTCGCAGTCTTGCTTGGCAGCATGGTGATAAGTCTGGCCAGGCCATAATCTGCTCGACTAGTGAGTTGCCACGCAGCGAAGCATACGTTTTTTTTCCATCTGGTCGATAGTTTTTTCCTTTAATATTACAACATGTTCCTTCTAGTACAGCTATAATACATGTTCATCATGAACTCACTTGCCACTAGCATAGCCATCTAGAACTCGGAGGCGAGGCAGACCTTACTACCTATTTTTCGACTTTTACCTTTCCGTTTGATTCCTTAGCATAGGAATTCTCTTTGTTGAGTAGTTCTTTCGTTAAACATCCGGGGCATTGAGTGGATGAATGATCTCCCCAAGATTCGATACCCTCGTCAACCAAACTCAAGATCGGATGTCCACTAAGGAATTTTCCCCGTTCATGCTTCCAGTGGCTCTTCGTCGTAGGTTGATATCGATAACAATAATAGCAGATGGCTACCGCTCTGCTGGGTTTACCGCCGGGCTTGACTGGGTGTACAAGGTTCAGAAGGTAGCGCATTGCCGCGCAGCTAGGCAGACAAAGTTGTCGATGTTTGATGGCTGAAGGCAATTGTATGTTGACCAAGCATGACACGCGTAAGAGGTTCTTACAGGCGAGGGCTAGACAGACCTTCCCGAAAGGATCGAGATCCTTAAATATTGAAAGGAGAAGCTCAGGAGGGAGTCTCACAAGTGCTGACGACTGAGATGTCGACGATGGTTCGAGAAGCTACAATAAGGTTAGCTAACAGATCAATCACATCGGACTAGATTTTATTTACCGTATCCGGGATGATGAAACGACCCCAGCAGGTGCGCCTGTGGTCCCACCAGCAGCGATATGTTACATCTGCAATGTAACCGTAGAGATACTGGCCGTGATGAGGCATTGCCGATCTGGTTTAGAATAATAGCCGCCGGGTTTTGACTATTCAAGAGTCTCGTTGTTGGTTCTGTTTTCCATCTATCTAGGTGGTTTGGTATATGAAGTATATTATAATGTGCACCGCGGGAATTAGGACGCGTATTTTGGTGTTGACGACTGCCTAATATTTGTTGTATCGATGGCAACGAAAATACATAGCAAACGCATAGGCCGATTACAGCCGACAACAGTCGTTCACAGTTGCACCGAACTGACAGTTGCAATGTTATCATGATCAAATTCTTATTTTAAAAGTTTTATTATGCCCTCAAGTGCTATATATAAAGAGATACCGTGTGTTGCTTATTTGGACCTGCTTGGTTAAGCTTTTTGCATTGCTTTTAACGTGGTGGAACTATCTTGAGTCTTCTTAAAGTCTTGATTTGCGAATAAGGTAAATAAGTGGGATAATGTGCCTGCATTGCCCTGGCGTTTGAGGACATATTTAATTATTAAAAAAGGAAAAATTCATTAAAATATATAGAACTAATCTTGTATTGCGAATATGTTGTTGAATCTAGAAAGACTACGGGACCTCGTCTGTTTATATACCCAGCCCTGGGACCTCATTCCTTCACTTGATGTTATGTCCGTAACTCACGATCGTGACATGGACCACCTGCCAACACATATTTAATAAAAAAGGAAACAGTTATTCAAATGTTTGAAATGGATAAAACTATCAATGAAATAATTGTTAAAACCCAGGAATAGACAGTTCCCCGGATTGAGTCCAGAGATTATCTCGGGTAACATACAGAACGAGTCTAACACAAAGCACGACATCGTACCCAACGATGGTGAAGAATGGCTACGAATGGCGTGCGTTGGTACCCATATCGCGCAACACCCTTGACAGACCCTTATCACTTTTCAACAACATTCTAGATCTTCTCGGGATACTCCAACTAGAATGCCAATAAATCGTAATGTCGCCATTCTCGTAGTGGGGGTATTACCATGCATTCGACCAAAATGTAAATCCTGAGGGTGTAGAAGTCCCTCTAGATCTCTTAGTAATATCACGTCTCAGAACGCTATCTTATAACGCCCTCCACTATAGCCGCTAGGTAATGCGTCTCGGTCCTTGATCATCTGCCCGGGCGTCTGGAACCCCCTGTTCAATGCGTTGACCAGTTGATTGATAAATCCTTATATAGATGAAGGGTACTCGTTCTATGTAGCATCTGTCAGGCCTTTCAGTCCTGTGGCTCCCCTATTAATATACTCGATTTGTTATTCCCGAGAAGTGATTCGTGCGATAATATCCTTCTCCTTCGAGTATAGAGGCGATATGTCTTCTCAACAACCGCCTACCGCGCCTTTGGGTGCCAGCTCCGCTGCGACGTCCGACCACGACAGCGTAAGGTCAAAAGGCCATCTCGACGATAAGCTTCCCGTCGAGGTGACGCCCACTACCTCGGCAGCGTTGGTACCGAGAGAGACTGAGCGTATGGAATCGGTGCTTGGTGATGCTATTCTGCGCTTCTTGCGACTTCGAAAGGGTCCGAAGACTGAACCGTACGATCTTGATGCGGTTCGTAAAGACCTTGGGCTTGATACAGATACATAGAACTAATAACTAACTCGACTAAGATTGCAACACAACCTAGTATCTGGGATTCCGAGAATGTGGATGAATTAAAGCAGCTCTACATTCACCCCCAATGGGAGAACTGGTCTGCTTTCGACCCTAGTTTCCGATGGACATGGAGGGAAGAGAGAGCGGTGCGACGTAAGGTTGACTGGAAGATTATGGTAAGTATTTTAATATAAGGAAAAGAATGACGCTGACTGTCTAGGTCTGGGTGTGTGTTATGTTTGCTGCTCTCAACATCGACCGAGGAAATATTTCCAACGCTGTCTCGGACAACATGCTGGAAGACTTAGGCCTTAGTCGCGCCGACTACGTAAGTTGTATTCTTGACTACTGGTTAGGAGTTTAACACTAACGATTAATAGAATACTGGTCAAACCATCGCGCGAGTCGGCTTTCTAGTAGCAGAACTACCTTCGCAACTTATTTCCAAGCGGTTAGTTCTCAGAGCAATAAATATCACAGGGGCTCAGCTAATTAAATTTCCCAGTATCGGTCCCGATCTATGGATTCCGATCCAAATATGCATTTTCAGCGTTATATCTGCCCTGCAGTTCTTCCTCGAAGGGAGAGCTTCTTTCCTCGCCACCAGATACTTAATGTAGGTTGGGCTGTTGTTGGCGGTATGAACTTTGGCTGACACATAAATTAGAGCAACATTCCAAGGTGGCTTTATCCCGTAGGTCTTCGTTTATTACAAGAATCTAATAGCTCTACTAATCCTTCGATAGTGACACGATCCTCTACCTCAGTTACTTCTATACTGGTAGATCGGTAAGCGACATTCCTTCCACAGCAGTGTAAACTAGGGGGTTATAAATTGACTTTCCTAGCTTCCGATCAGGTTAGCTTGGTACTGGATGTCTTCACAACTAGGTAGGTTATTATAAATTATACTCAGAGTACTTTTCTAATATCTTCTTCTAGTCGACATCGGTGTCGGTTTCGCTGCTGTTGGTCTCCTATCCATGCGCGGTATCCTGGGGTACGAAGGCTGGCGGTGGTTGTTCCTAATTGAGTAAGTTATGAGCTTCGCGAATTATATGAGCATAGCTAACATCATTAGGGGCGCTGTTACCTGTAAGGATTATCTAGGCTTCTAACGCCCGTGATACTAACCCTATTGCAGTCTTGGTTGGAGTTGCTTCATTCTTCCTCATGCCTCAATCTCCGGCTAGGACAAAGAGCTGGTGGAACCCTAAAGGGTACTTCACCGAGAAGGAAGAAAAGATCATTGTCAACTCAGGTAAACCCGTCGAGCATATAGACTTATATCTGTTTCATTTCTAACTCTACTCCTAGTTATCCGAGACGACCCCCAGAAAGGAGGAATGTACAATCGACAAGGTCTCTCCGTCAAACAAATATGGGAGAGCGCGAAAGACTACGACATGTGGCCAATATACGCTCTAGGTCTATTATTCGGCATACCGAAATATCCCGTCGGTCAATACTTGACGCTTTCCTTCCGAGGTCTGGGATTCAACGTCATCCAGACCAATTTACTTTCGATTCCGAACATCGTCGGTTCCAGCATATCCATGCTAGTCATCACTGCGGTAAGCGAATTGGTAAATAATAGGAGTTTCGTATCGATGGCGGAAGATGCTTGGTTGTTGCCCTGTTTCGCTGCTTTGATAGCCCTGCCGGATCCGATCAGCCCTTGGGCGTACTTCGCGATCGCAACAGTGTTGCTGTCATTCCCATAGTGAGTACCAAGCCGAAAGGGGAAAGAGATCAAGAACTAAGTGAGCTTAGCACCCACCCTATACAAGTCGCCTGGACGAGTAGGAATGCGGGATCCGTCCAGAACAGAACAGTCTCTGCTGCGTAAGACAATCCCTCTCTTCCAGTATTTCGTTGTTCTAACTTAATTCGTATAGTATCTACAACATGTGGGTTCAAGTCAGTGGAATGATCGGCGCGAACAGTAAGCTTTTCCTCCCACAAGAAGCGTATAGGTAAGTGCTGACCTTATAGTCTACCAACCCAGCGACTCGCCGCGATACTTCAAAGCAAACAAGGGTTTACTAGTTATCTGTGTCTGGATGTGTGTAAGTACCTATAGCCCCGCAACCCCCTATCCCCTCGTTTACGAGAAAATGCTCAACTATTTACAGGTAATACAATACCCGGGCACATATTATTACTACCGATGGAGAAATAATTCAAAGGCGAAGAAGTGGGATGCCATGACTCCAGAAGAACAAGACAACTATAGGAAGACTACAACCGATAAGGGTAACAAGCGGTAAGTTCTCCCTTTTTATCAGTCTCGAAACTTTGAACTTATTCGTATGATAGACTCGATTTCCGTTTCGCAACTTAAAAGTCGTCAATAGTGATTAGCCAAGAGAGGAAAACTGAAAAAGGAGATGGATACATATGCTGCCCCCGAATTTGGAAAGTCTTTTGGAGCCGTTACGAGCCTGTCAATTGATATAGTAGCTATAGAATAGTGTGTATGACTTATCACGTATAAGGTTGCGGTGTTTAAGTCTGAGGAGCTCTATGATACCGTATATTCAATATTGATACCTTCTTTGATACCCTACCAAGTCTATAGTTGACAAACGGTCATTTTATAACAGCGGTTTACCTACTCCTTAACATTATGGTTATAGCTCAAGGCATTCTCATGACATTTTAACAGAACTATATACGGATTATGAGTACATATAAATAGAAGTGAAAAGGAAATACACTAGAACCTCTTGCGGTGCCCACTGGATACTGGATCTATATAAAGAGTATATACCGCCACCCCACCCCCCCCCATTCTTGGAAGGGGCATGGGCCAATAAAGTCACCAACTATACTCCTAGATAGGCTCTTGTCTTTCACTCCGTGCTATACGATAGGTAATAGTCTTAGATGTTTGTTTTATTGACCGATAAATAGACTATCGTCCTACAGGCTATAAAATCCCCCACAAACAACCTAAGCGTTTGTATTGTAGATTTTAAATATGTTCTCCGCTAGGTTAAGTACCTACTCTATTAGTCTGGCTTCAAATATAACAATGATAATACTCTGTTGCTTTTATGTTAGGATACTTAACAGGGCCATCAAATAGCCTCATAAAATTCATAAATGGGCCTATATGTACTACTCTCATAAGGGATAGCCAGAACTTAACCTTTTTATTACTGTCAGGGTGGCTACAGGGGTCTGTCTACGACTATATAAGAGGCGCGAAGCGCCCTCGTCAGAGGATAGAAAGCCAGGCGTTACTAGTTCAATACAATTTACTACCTGGTCTACCTACCCTCGACACTCACTTTGTGTATGACTAACCTCAACGGGCATTAATCCTGACAATTACTACTATGATACTCAGTCTTCCTGATGATACCAAATATGTCGGCAGTTATTTGTTGTGATACCACCAGCTATCGGCGTAGTTTGCATCATAAGTTTAGCAACTGTTTGTACGTAAGCCCATTAACGCCATAAAAGGGGTTTGAATAAGACTTAAGTATTTGTCTAAATGAATTTAAAGCAATACAAGCCACCTAAATCAGATTTAACCTACCATTTACACACGCTTGCAAGTATAATATTCCTTAGATAGCCACATTTCTATATAAATTGTGGGTAACCCATAAACGAAAATTATTATTGGCGTAAACAACAACTGCCGTTGAAGAATAATATGCTTTACGACTTAAGAAATGATACTAATGGCCTCTTAGCCATACTATAGCTTTACTAATTGCTTTATAAGAAAATCAGAAGCCAATACTAAATATATCATTTAATAACTAAAGCCTTTATATAAACGCACCATAACGCACCATAACACGAATCCAGCGCAAATTCGCCCTTCGTATTCCGTGCTTAGTATCTCCTAGACGTTGTCGAAACTGGGGCATATGTTTATATCTTAAATTCAACCAACAATTCCCCTTCCAACATAGCAGTCCTGGTTCATTGTTCAGGACCGAGCCTCGTTCTATCGTTGCCTACTAAATACTCATACATCAAGACTTCAAAGGAACCTTGGAAGGACGTGCTTTGATAATTACAGTGCGTACGGTTATAACGTATATAGAGTCATAGGTAAATATACAAGTAAAGATATCACAGAGGAGGACGGCACAGCATCTCCCACGTCTTAAGACGTCACACCCGTCTGAGCCTAGCCCTTCTACAGAGATAAGATACAACTCACCAAAGATACCAATGATCTCGTCGAAGGGCGCCGGCGAGTATCAGGTCACATGGTTACGAGATAAGGGTTTTTCTTTCTTTTTTTACGTGCCCCTCTCAGACTCTCTTCCTCTTCCTTTCCTCCCACCATCTGTCTTCTTTTCCTCCCACCATCTGTCTTCTTCTACCTTCATCCCATCTCTCTCAGAATCACCTCTCTCGTCTTCCTCGAACCACCTACCATACCATTAGTGTTCGCAGTTGTTACATTGTACACTCACCGACTATACACTCGCCGAGTATACACTCACCTGACAACACTGACAGACGCCGACTATACTCGCCGACTATACTCGCCGACTATACATGTCAAGAGGTATACTCGCCGAGGATACCTAATACTTATTACTTTCGTCCCCACCTTCCACGATTTTCTAGCTGCTCCTAGTAAGAGTAGTTTGACCCTTAGCCTGCGAATTTTTTCACTCAGCTCCCGCCTCACAAGTGGTTACCCAAGCTGCTCTCGCCCTACAAGTTTCCAACTGGACCCGCCTTACAAGCATTTCACTACTCCTTCCTGCCTCGAAGAAGAGTTGCAACCTTAGCACGCAGATTTCTTCAGTAAGTTCCTACATATTTATTTCTCCCATCGTCCACCCATCCTTTTTTCCCTCAGCCTTTCAACAACATCGACTTCGAAGTTCAAGTTTACTAATATTACTTTCGAAGACAAAGATGGCAGATCGCGAGGGAGCTCCGGCCTCTGGCCTGTTCACGCCCGAGTTGGCCGCTCGTGTTGTCGCTCTGGTTGGAGTGCACATGGACCTCAACCTAGAAGCCCAGCCCGCTCCCGAGGGTGTACGTGAGGGGGCTATCCAGGTATTTCTCCAATGCCTGGAAGAGCTCGGCGTTGAGCTTGTCGCTGCGGTCCCCGCCCAGCACATAGCCCAGCCTCCCGCTCAACCTCCTCCACAACCTCCCGCGCAACCGCCAGTAGCCCAGCCAGCGGCCCATCTAGTCCAACCCCCCGCCGGCGTAAGAAATAAGAGTTTCTTAATTAATTTTTTATATATAAAAGCTTACTAATATTTTCACGAATAGCCTCTGAAGAAGCACGAGGCCCTATGGGGCCACAAGCTCTTGCCGTCTCTCGGGCGTGACGAGATGGAAAAGCGGTACAACGCCGCTGATACACGTTTCTTTAAGAAACGTAAGGACCGTCACCAAAGTGCCCGCCGTGACGGTACGACGTATCTTGAAACGGCCGCCGAGCTGTTTTGGAGGTGGAAAAAGGAAGGACAGTAAGTTAGGCTAAATATATGCTGTTTTTTATTGTGGTCTTGATCCGCTGACTGAAATAACTTAATTTATAGTCAACCAACCGCCGCCGAAAGGGACCGCCTAAGGGTAGTCTGTGAGATTGAACTCACACACGCGTTTGATAACGCGGACGGCGCTGCGCTTGCGAAGCCAGCGGCCGGTGAGTTTTATCACGAGGTTTTTGCCTCTTGGTTTAGGGTAGTTTGAGGATGAAGACAATTAAAAACGTTGGGGGTGGAGTTTCGATTTGCGCGTCTGCTCGGCCTTCGTGTCGTATAGGAAGTTTTCATCACCTTGAGTGATTTATCATTAGTTGATATAGTGGTGCCTTTGGCATCATGGGCGGGGTGTCCGGTACCCGTACCACGTAATCACAAGCAGTTTCACTGTAATGCTTTTGCTGATGTCTTGAAAGTGACACGAGTGTTTCCCGTAACCTACTACACCTCCCATAAACTCGACGTTACCTATCTTATTAGTCTGGACTAAAGGCCCGATATTATCTAATCATTCCCGTAGGCCCCATAGAAGCTACCTATTCATAGACTTTTATTTCCTTATTGAGTAGAAATTTCGCATCCGCGAGTTGTGGATATCTTGAAAAGATATCAAGTATTTTGACCTCCTTACCCCTGAATTCTTGGCAGCATTGTGGCTTGTTGGATGTAAGTCTAGTACCTTAAAGGGGTTATGCACGTACCTACTCTCATACCGTGCGAATACCGTTATTATCGGATGCTCGATAACGGTAATCCAAACGCCACACTGCCACATCCAGTACCAGCCTCCAATTAGCGTATCTGTTTACTTGGCCATCTTAAGACTTGCCTATGGCTTCCCCTTGTTAAACACCGTCTTGTCTTCACAAGTCGCAGCACTCGTCCTATTCTAATACGCAAAAGGCTTCGCAACGAATTACCAATTATTTAATCCACTATTTACCCCTTCATCTCTAAAATATTTGAAGCGAATGAAAATCAATTCCATCACGAAGGAAAATGCTAGCCTCATCAAAATTCGAAGGTGTTGGTCTTCATGAGTGAGATCCCTAAAGAAAGTGTTTTTATATTAATAATACTCTTGTATCAGTGGTCAAAGTTCCCTCCATAGTGAGCTTTTTATTCTTTTGGCTTCCCTAGCACGGGTTGGGGGTTTGTCCAGTCATATTCTTCATAATGGCGGATCCTCGCATAACGGCGGATGCAATATCCAGTGAAGATGTTGAGATGGAAGGTACTAATTTGCATCTCGGCAACGGCTTGGGTGGCAAAATTGCTGCTGATTCACCGGATCACCTGGTCCAAACAAATATCCAAACAAATACGCCTTCATTCAAACCAGATCCGGATGGTACCCAACCAACTTCTTCTCCCCCTCCCTCCCAGGCTGGCTCTAACAAGATGAGGCCTGCATCGAAGAAGAAGGGAACTGCGGCCAAGAAAGGTCCTAGGAAGTCTAGGGTCCCCAAATCCAAAACCTCTAAAAAGGACCCCTCGTCAACTGGCCCCGCGAATGGCGCTCAAGGAGGTAGCTCCGACGATGAGACTGACAACGGCCCCTATTGTATCTGCCGTGGACCAGACGATCACAGATGGATGATAAGTTGTGATGTCTGTGAAGATTGGTTCCATGGAGAATGCGTCAATCTCGATAAAGAGGTTGGCGAAAAGTTGGTCGAGCGTTTCGTCTGTCCTAACTGTACTGATGGCAAGCTCAACTATACCAAGTATAGGAAGACTTGCTCCTTGGCGGGTTGCAAAACCGCTGCTCGCCTATATACTAAGAATCCTAAAGACAGAAGTGCTTTCTGCTGCAATGATCACTGCGACCTCTGGTGGTCGTCCTTAATCAACACGCTGCCAACCAAAGCCGCCTCCGAAAAGGCTATCGAAGTCCTTACTCAGGAAGATTTCGTCGGTCTCCTTGTTAGTACTATCGAGAAAGGCGGCTGGAAGCTTGGTGACCAACCCTTCGGTATGTTCATAGTTTCCCAGTCTTGGTTTCTACACTTGGTCGGCTTTATGTGTGCTGATTTACCATTCAGGCAACGTAGACGGCCTTTGGGCTAATGGTCTCCCCACCCAGCCGGGCGTTCTTAGTGATGAGGAGCAAGCTTTCTTGAAGAGCTCTGCTGCCGAACGCCTCGCGCTTGGCAATGAAATCGTGCAGTATAAGAAGATGATGCAGCTCATAGATTGGGCCAACCATCGTCGGCAACTTGCCATAGAAGCAAGTAAATTCGCCAAGGATAGCTGTGGTTACGATTGGCGACTCGACACGGTCTCGGTTCGTTATCAGTTTGCGGAATGGCTGGAGACCCCGGAGGGCCAAGCGACCTTCAAAGCAGGGAAACTCGATACGCCCCTCGATCCCGACCTGCAAGGAGACCCGGCCACGCGCGGCATGTGCGAAAAGAAGCGCTGCAAATCGCATAACGGATGGTATAAGTTACTGATGAGTGCGGTTCGGACCCTGATTAAGGAGACGGCGACGGCGGCAGCTGATAAGTTGAACTCTGAGGATGTTATGCGCCAGGCGGCGGAAGCCCGATTCGAGAGGCGCCAGCTGGAGAATAATTCGGTGCAGGTCTTGGACGACTGAGGGTTGGGCCGGGCCCATCGATATCTCTAGAATCATTATTAAATTAACAATAGTTATCAGGAGAGCGGGCTTGCTTGTGGATGGCTGGCGGCCAGGACTGTAATCTGCCTACGTATTGCGGTGTCTTCGTGTAGTTCGATTGCACGCCTAATAAGTACACAAATTCTACTTTATAGTTTATCTATCTTGTCTTCGGCTCTCCTCGATTCTAAGCATGCTTCTTACGAATTACTAACATTAATCACATATAGAGAAGGTTATACGTATATTTCTCGGGTAAGTATCTAACCTAGGTAGGTGACTGAATAGCCTGTGGCTGCAGTCTTCATCCGTAGTATATTGTGGGCGCGCCGGATCTTGATCGACGCGTCGTGTAGGCTTTCGAGGTATCTAGTGGTGATCCTCTAATCCGATGAAGGTCTCATATTGGTTTATAGGTGTTCTCGTGGTTGGTTTACGTGAGAATGTCGGTGGTTGGTTTGTCGAGTAGCTGATAGGCAGGGAAATGAATCTGATCCTTCACCTTCAATAGATTCCTTCCTCGTACACACAAAGAACAACATGTAATACTCACGTTCTAGTATTAATATATGAGGTAGAAAGAGCTCTCGGCGATGTGGGTTGATATTAGTTCGTCAAGCTCGGGAAGCTGTTACCCGTAGGCTAGAGGGTAGTCAGATATCATCAAGACGCAGTTACCATGCTTCTCTAATTATCATTTAGAAGTTACCATAAGTGATTCTAAGGGCCCTAGTGATATTATAACACGCCTCTTCGCCTCGACACTTGGAGAAAGCCACCCGTAATCGTCGAGTTCTACCTGAATAACCCCTATCTGGTGCGCCACAAACACATCATCATACAAAGATATTACATCTTTAATTAGTCCTAAATGTTCCGAAGAGTCACTCTCCAAAGTCTCGTGTCATTATAGAAGCGCGCTGTTGAGTTATCACGGATCGACCGACCCAGAGACTTTGAGAGACGTCCCTCGCGACCCTTTAGCATCACCCAGATGGCCTTTTCATCAACCACTCTACAGCGAAGGCTACAATCTTCCTATAACTTTCCAATATAGTAGAACCAACATCTCGCTACAACCTCGTATCATTTTTAACTTTTAATATCCTCGACGCATTCTACAGTCGATGGTCAACGCCGTTCTCCTCGTCAAGCCCGCTTATACAGATATGTATATATGCACAAATAGCTGTTCTTATATCCGTATAGGACCCTAGCAGAGTTGTATTAAGGCCATATATTATACTTCTGATAATGCTACTATCAGATGAGACGTAAGGAATTACCGCTTATTAGAATACCCCTAACCTATACGAGACGTAGGGCTACTATAAAAACGCGTCTCGGTATAGACTGTAGCTCGCTCTCTCCTCCCTTCAACAACTCTCTTCACTTCGCACTTCACTTTTCACTTCGCTCTTCACACAATACTGCAACACCACAACACTACAACACTACAACTCTAATACATCTCTCATCTGCAATGCCCCCAGTCACTCCTACCAAAGCATCGGCTGTTCTCAGTCGTGGGTTAACTAGGTCCCACACCAACATCCCTCCCTTTTCCTCAACACCTTCTCCTCTTCCTCGCTTTTCTTGGTCACCTATTACTCCTCCTACTCCTCCTACCCCTACTATCCCCTATAACCCAACTCCCGTCCGCACCCCCATCTTCTCTCCTATCCGTTCCCCTTTCTCTCCTCTTGGTCCTTCTCCCGCTACACCCTCCCCTCCTTCCCCTATTGTATCTCCTTTCTCCTCTGCTAACCCGAAAGCACCTCCCTCTCCTCTTTCTCAGTTTCTAGTTTCTATGCGTGCCCGTAATCAGAGACGAGGAGTCCGCCTCGGTACCCACCTTCCACCTAAGCCCAAAACACTATGCCCCGAATGTGACAGAGTAAAGATGTTGCTCCCGGCAAAGTGGTGTGGCCATCAAGTAACTCGTAAGTACTATGCTGTTTGTTCTTTGTCTCTTTCAGTTGCCGTCGAACTTCTTCCCCTATTTTTCTATTCCCTATTCCCTAATGGCTCCTTTTCCTAGTTCATTGCATATCCCTTTTACCTCTTCCCATTATTAATGCTAACCTATGATAGCATCTCGAATGAAGAACGGCCTGCGGGTCGTTCGACTTCCGAAAAACTTCCCAAACGACAAAGCTACTTTAGCTAAAAAGGCACGAATCGCAAAAGAAAAGGCAGCCGCTGCTAAATCGGCACACGAAAAGAAGGCAAAAGCTCCTATCGCTAGTTTACCTGTTGCTAAAACAGTAACGCCTAAACGCGTTATTGTAGAGGCAAAGCCGGAACCCAGGGTCAAGAGTTCGCCTCTGGTTCACACTCCTTTCAAAAACCCAGACTTGAACGACAAACCCCTACACTGGTCACCTCGCATGTTCAAGCCCGAGATCGACCGTCACAATTGGACTTGGTCTGATTGGGACTCTCCATCCCGGGAAATCGAAGATGCCACGTACCAGACTACCGATTGGCCCATCCACGATCCTTTCGCTGGTCTTCCACCACACATCAGGAAGAAGTTCGAGGAGATGAAGAGGATGGAAAAGCAGCTATTGGAACAGCAGCCCGATAGCAGCGTCACAGCTGACACCGTTCGCTACGAGGAAGTCGATATCGCATCGTCATTTTCTTCGGAAGCGTCCACTCGTTCGAAACGCACTCATTCAAAGCACTCTCGTTCAACAGGCACTCGTTCAGCACACACTCGTTCAGACTCGACGTCATCTTCGGAATTCTCTTCCTGGGTAGACGTGAATAGCCGTCCTTGGCCACCACACGTCCTTAAAATGTTCAACGAAGGCGAGGAGGAACGCAAGGAATGGGCAGAAAGGAGACGCAACCAGCCGACCATGTCCCCTCTTGCTGAATCCATCATCTCGGACGTCTACATTCCTTTGGATTCCCCAAAGCCTCTCCGCGAACCCTCGCCAGAGCCTACTCAGTCTTCCGGACTATCTTCTCTTCTTCAGCTTTACGTCGAAAGCGACAGTGATCGCCAACGGTGGCAAGCAGAGAAAGAGAAGAAGGAGAAGGAAGAACAGGAAGAGAAGGAGTTGAGGGAGATGGTGGCAAAGGCGAAGGAGGCATATGCTCACGAGAGCTCTTTCGAGGGCTCGTCCACTCATTCGAATTCAGGCTCTTTTGGCTCTTACAACTCAGACGTCGCCAACCAGTACGCTCGTAACATTCAGCAGATCATGCAAGATCTTCACGCGTCATCTTCTGCTGCTCCGGCTCCGGCTCCGGTCCCAGCCCCAGCCCCAGCCCCAGTTCCAGCTCCTTCTCCAGTTCCTGCTGCTGCCTCGCCTATTCACGATAGCCCCCCTAAGAGCCCAACCACTCATTCGGACTCTTACGGCTCTTACAACACGGACGTTGCTCTTCAGTACGCTGGTTCTATCCAGCAGATTTTGCGGGATCTTCGCGGACCACCTGCTGCTGAACCTGTTGCTGAACCAACCCTTGCTGAACCCACTCATGACGACTCTTTCGAGAGTCAGGACGCTCATTCAAACTCCTATGGTTCTTACAACTCCGAGGTTGCGAATAAGTATGCCAGTAACATCCAACAGATTATGCGCGATCTACATGCGTCGTCTGCTCCCGCTCCCGCTGCTGCTGCCGCCGAACCTGTTGCTGAACCTGTTGTTGAACCCACTCATGATGACTCCTTCGAGAGTCAGGACGCTCATTCGAATTCCTATGGTTCTTACAACACCGATGTGGCGAACCAGTACGCTCGTAACATTCAGCAGATTATGCGTGATCTTCACGCGTCATCTGCTCCCGCTCTCGCTGCTACTGCTGCTGCTACTGAAACTAATTCTGCTCTGCCTACTTACGACGAATCCTTTGAGAGTCAAGACACTCATTCGAATTCTTATGGTTCTTACAACTCCGATGTGGCGAACCAGTACGCTCGTAACATTCAGCAGATCATGCAAGATCTCCGCGCGTCATCTGCTAACGAACCAGCTGCTGCTCCCGCTCCTGTTGCTGCCCCTGAAACTACTTCTGCTCTCCCTGCTTACGACAACTCTTTCGAGAGTCCCGACGCTCATTCAGATACCTATGGCTCGTACAACTCCGATGTTGCGAACCAATACGCTCGTTCTATCCAGCAGATCATGCAAGACCTTCGTGCATCATCCACTGCCGCACCTGCTCCTGCACCTGCTTCAGTTTCTTCTCACACCTCGGGTTCGGATTCGGCTTCTACTTCTGCTCCGTCTCCTCCTCAGCACTTCTTCGCCAAACGCCAGCTCCCTTCGGCTTTCACCCTGGAGCGACCAAGGCCTGCGGAAGTGCCGGCAAGGGAATCCGGCTTCGGCTGGAAGTCTCTTGCCTGTGTTGGTGTCGCGGCTGCAGCCGTCGGCGCGGGCCTGGCTTATGCTTGGCTTTCTTTTGCGACATAGTCTTTCTTTTCGGTCGGTCGGTCGGTTTTCGGTTCGGTGGTATATAGTGAGGCGGTTTTGCAGTGCCCATGTGTTTGTTGTGTTTTGGATATCCCTTCTTTCTTTTTCTTGTATAAGTTGTCGCGGATAACTGGATGTTTCTTGTAAACTGTTTCGCTCGTTCGCATCCTCTCTTTCATCGCTCTATTCCCTCTTACCCCCTTGCCTTAGTCGTCATCCCTTTTCGTTCCCCCCTCTCTCTTCTCCCTCTTCGCTTTCCTTTCCCTTTTCTACCCCCCTCCTATCCCTTTTCCTACTTCCCCCCTTTCTTATAGATCCATCACTTTTTTTTATTCATTCATTTGGCACACATTCCTTTTCATCCTACTCACCTATGGGTCATTCGTTTCTGGGAACTGCAAAACCGCGGGAGTATGGGGGTCCGGGCGTTACGGCGTTGCGAGGAGGGGTATTGGGAGAAGGTCATTGGATTTGGATTTTGTTTTGTCTTTTTTTGTTTTGTTTTGTTTTGTTTCGTCTTGAACTGTTTTCATGCGGAGTTTTGGGTTTGGTTTTTGGTTTTGTTCTTGATTTTGTTTTGGCGTTTGGATTTTTGGATTTTTACAAATTCTGCCTTGAGCATCGACTCGGCCTTATTGGGTGGTCGCTCGTTTGAATTCACCTGTTTCATTACTCTACTCTTCTGTTTCTTGTCCTGTCGTAAAAGTTCAGGTAGTCTAGTGGCTATCTTCTGAAGTTCTACCCTTATGCCCTTGTCAATATGATAGCGTATTCTTCGCGCCATCGTAGAATTTAGGGCTTGCTCCTTTGGGATTGTTGACATGAAGGTAAGTGTAGCCAGGTCGTTCTTCTATAGAGAGCATAGACATTTGAATTTTGAAATAGAAATATGATTGAGCTAAATAAGATGATTTGGTTTATTAATTCGGTCTATCTTACTGGGTATCTGTCGCTTACCGGAGAGCGCCTTTTCTGTACATATACAAGAACCAATCTACTTGTGCATTCCCTTTCGCAGTAGCTAATTTACTACGAGCGGAGTAAACTCTCGCAGCAATAGCTAATCCTCTGCTTCCTCCTCCTCGTCCGAGTCCCGCCTCCGTCTCCGTTCTTCCCTACGCTTCTCTATAATCAAATAGAAGTTGAATTGGACAGAGGTGTAATTGAAATGGAAAGATGTAACGTTAAGGCACTTAAAGATGATCCTTTTTAAATAAATGGCTGAAGTTACAATGAAGTAAGTGGTTTATTGGCTCGAGTTTTACACTACACCCCTTAAAATAATATTAATTTCTAGTTTATACATATATAAAAATAAGGTTATATAACGTTTAAATTATGTTAACATAATATAAACGTTATAAAAGGTAATTTATTATACGTTTAAAAAAATATATTATAAACATATTATAAAATACCGTATAAACCTTTTTTTATTATATAAATATTTAAAAAAATTTAATAAAAATGTAACATTAAATTAATTTAAATTATAATTAAATATTATAATAAATAAAATTTTTTTTTAAACCTTTAATTTTATAAATACTTTTTTTCGTTTTTAATAAATTATATTATATTAAATTATAAATTTAACGTTAATTAACCTTTTTTTTAAATTTTATAATATTTTATAATTTATTTACCTTTTAATTATGCCGTTTTTTTAATAAAATTTTCGTTATTATAATTAATATTAACCTTTTTTTCGTATCGTTATTTATTAAATAACGTTACCATTTAATTAATAATTTTAACATTAACGTTTTTAATTATTAAATTATTTTATTTAAAAACTTTTTTAATAATCTTTTTATACGTTATTATTAAATTAAGTTACAGCTTTTAAATAATGTACCCGTATACGACTTTTTTTTTTTTAAAATTATTAATATTAAAATAATTAATAAAAAATCGATATTAATAACTATTTTAAAAATTATAAAAAATTAAAAAATTAATAAAATATATAATATAATTATTAATATATTTTTTTAAAATAAACCTTATATTTTTAATTTAAATAAATTTTAAATTATAAATTTTATTATTAATAATTTTTAATTTTTTAAAATTTTAATTAATTTTTTTTTATTATTTAAATTATAAAAATAATATTTTAAAATAAATTTTTTTTTAATAATTTATAACGGTTAAAATAATAATAATAATAATTATTTTTTTTAAATTATTATTATTATTAATATTATATTTAAAAATTATTTTTAAATTAAAATATTATATTATAATATTAAAATAAATTACAATTAAATTATAAATTTTATTAATGTTATTAAACGTTAAATTTAATATATAATTATAATTAATTTAAAATTATATTTTTTAAATTATAAACGTTTAATAATTTTTAATTAAATTATATATAATATTATTGTTAAATATTATATTAAAATTTTTTTATTATATTATAATATATTTTAAAATTAATTTTATTATTATATATTTAATTTAATTTTTTATAAAAAACGCGTTATAATAAATATTTTAATAAAAATAAATTTTTTAAAAATATTATAATTTTTAAAATTAATTTTTATTATTAAATAACGTTAATTATAATTTAAATTTACGTTAAAATAAAATTATTTAATGTTAAAAAAATAATATAATTAATTATAATTTAATAAAATATAAATTAATAAAATTAATATAATTAAAAAATTTATTATTTTAATATTTAATAAAAATGTTAATTTATTTATTAAATTAAAATATTAACGTTACGGTTAAATATTTTAAATTTTATTTATAAATATATTAAAAAAGTTTTATATAATATAAAATAAATGTTAAAAAACGATAAAATTAACTTTATATTAAAAATATATATTATTTTTAATATAAATATTTATTATAAAATATTTTAATATATATTTATAATATAATAATGTTTTAATATATATTTTAATAAATATTAAAAAATAAATTTAAAATTATAAATTAATTAAATAATTTATTAATTTTCTTTTTAAAAGTTTTAATTTAAATTTTATTAAATATGTATAATTATAAATAAAAATTTAAATTAAATGTTATAATAAATAATTTACTTAATTAAAATTAACGGAAATTATTAAAAAGTTTTAAAAAATTTTTTTATTTAATTTTTTATTAAAATTTTATAATAATATATTTTAACGTTTAAAATTTATTATATTAAAAAATAATAATATAATTAAATATTAATTATATAAATAAATAACGTTAAATTATATTTATTTTTATATATTAAAATCTTTTTATTTAATTATTAATAAATTAATATATAAAATTTTAAAATATATATATTTTTTATTATTTTATTAATTTTAATATATTAAAAATTTAATAAAAATTATTATAATTAAATTAATTAACCAAGGTTTTATTAAATTAATTACGTTTTAAAATAATTTTAAAATATAATTTTAAAACATTTTTATTAAGTATTAATAAAAAGGTATAAATTAACATTATTTTAAAGGGTAAAATGTATATATTTATTAATTGTAGGATTTATATAATAAAGTTTTAACCGTTTATTATAATTTACCGGTTTATTATTACGTATACGAAACAAACGATATATTTATTTAATATCGTATAAACGTATTATTTTTTTAAAACTTAAATTAAAGTTTATAAATTAATGTTAAAATTGATTTATAAAAAGTAATTTTATTATTAAATTATCGTATTTTTATATATACTTTTTTTAAAATTAACGCGTTTTTTTATGTATTTTAACGTATTTATATTTAATTTTCGATTTTTATAAATATATTAATTTATTATAATGGTATTTAATATAATAATAATATTATAATTAAATGCGTAAATTTTTAATTAAAATATTATTAATATATAAATTATAAAACGATAATAAGTTTAATTATATTTAATTTATTAATAAAAAAGTTAAATTTAATTTTATAAATTATATAATTAATATTTTATTTATAAATTAATTTAATATAATTTAAAATTAATTTAATTTTAATAAAAATAATAATAATAACGATAATAATTATAACGATAATTTTAATAATAAAAACGATTTTAATATTTTTAATTTTAATAATATATAATAAATTATTAATAAAAATATTAATTTTAAATTATTAAATTAAATATTTATTAATAAAGTTTTTATATAAAATAATAATATAACGATATTTTTTAAAATTTATTTATATAATTATTATATAAATAAATTAATATTTTATAAGTTTTTTTTTAATAAATTTTTAATATTTACGTTTTTATAATTTTAATAATAATTTTAATGTAAAATGGTTAATTATATTATAAATAATATTTTTATTATTTTTTTAAATTTTTTATTTTTTAATTTTATAAAATAATGGTTTATTTAAATTAATTGTTAATTTAAAAAATGTTATAAAAAAATAAATAATAAAATAAAATTATATTTAAATAATTAATAAAATTTTAAAATTAATTTAATTAAGATATATTTATTTTTTTTTTATTTAATTTATATAAAAATAAATTTTAATAAAAAACGATATAATTATTAATAAAAAATTAAATAAATATTTAATTATTTTTTTATACGTTATTATTTTAATTAATAACGTTTTTTTTTATTATTTTATAATTTTATTATTTAAAATTTTAATATTATAAAATTAACTATATTTAATAAAGTTAATTTATAATATTAAATTTTTTTAATAATTAATTTTTTAATTTAAAAATGTTTTAATTTAATTATATTTATTAACAAGGTTATAATTAATTTTTAAAGTTATTATTTAATAATTATTAAAATAAAAAATAAGTTAATTAAATTAAAATATAAAAAATAAATAATAATTTAATTTAATTATTTTATATATTAATATTTTTATTATTAAAGTAAATTATTTAAAAATATTAAATTATTTTTAAAATTATTATTAAAATTAATATTAATTTAAATTATTATAATAATTTTATTAAAATAATTATTTTTATTATAATTTAATTAATATTATTATGTATATATAAATAATTTATTTATAATTATTTATTTTTTAAAATATTTTAAAATATAAAAAATAATTATTATAAAAATTATAAAAATTAATAATAATATTGTTAAAAAATTTAATAAATTTAAAAAAAGTAAATTTAAAAAATATTATTATTAATAAAATAACGTATATATTAAATTTATTAAAAATAAATAAATAATATAATTTATATTTTATAATAATAATATATATTTATTATTATTTATAACGTTTATAAAATATAAATTTTTAATTAATTATAAATAAAAATAATTAATAAAAATATTAATAAATATAATAATTATATAAAAGTTTTTTAATAATAAAATTATAAAAATATTATTTTTTTTAATTATTATATATAAATATAATTATTATATAAAAAGTATAAATATTAAAAATTAATTTTATATTAATATAAATATTAATTATAACTGTTTTAAATAAAATAATATATAAATTTTTATATATAATTTTTTATGAGCAACACTAGTCGTGCAGTATGCCCATTGCTACCCGTGCAGTACGCGGGGTATGGTCCCGGGTAGCTTAAAATCGCTTTTCGCAGTCAACCTTTAATAACTTTACGAATTCTGGTCCGATTTGAATATAATTTATACCATAATTTAAATAAGAAAATAACGAAAATTACAATCCAGGGTGCACGTGATTCGGACCAATATTGACCCGGATGCGGCTGAAAGTATGAATTTTAACTATAGTGGCTGTTCCAACGCTCTTTTTAGTGGCTTTTATCCCCTGCAATCTCAACACCTTTCAACCCTAATAACTTTCCCAATATAACCCGGATAAATTTCGAAAAAGTCTTAATATTTAGATAACTAAATAGCCAAAATTATGAAACAAATCCCAGATTTTTACCTATTTATTTCGTAAAGATACGGCTATATCTATAAAATACGCTAAAATAAACTAGTAAATACTAGTAAAAAAGTCACTTTGTATATACAAATGCTTGTTATTACAATATCTCAGCCAATTCGGGGCCAAATCACGTGCACCCTGGACCGTAATTTTCGTTATTTTCTTATTTAAATTATGATATAATTTATATAAGATCCGGATAGGTATTCGTAAAGTTATTAAGGTAAACGTTAAAAGGGGGGGAGAAAAATAAAGTACGTACCCCGTTTTACTGCACGGGTAGCAATGGGCATACTGCACGACTAGTGTTGCTCTTTTTTATTAAATTTATTAATTAATTTTTTATTTATTTTAATATATATTAATAAATATTTTAATAAATATTAACTTTTTAAATAATTTTATTTTATAATATAAATTTATATAAAAATATAATATTTATAATAATATAATTTATAATTTTTAATAATATTAATAAATATTTTATAAAAAATTATATAAAAATTTTATTATAAAATATATTTTATTATTAATTTAATATTAAATAATAAATAATATATTATTATATATATTTAAAAATAATTTTTAATAAAATAAAAAAATAAAATTTTATATAATAATTAAAATAAAAAATTGTTATAAATATATTATTTATTTAAAATAATTTAAAAAAATAATAAAAATATTAATAAAAAAAAATTATATATAATTAAAATTATAATTTTATTATTAAAAATATAATATAATATTTTATAAAATAAATAATTATTAAAATTTATAATATAAAATAAATATAAATTTAAATTAAAAATATAATAATATTTTATATATAAAAAATAATTAAATAAAATATTTAATTTAAAAATTAATTAATAAAAATAAAACATTAATATTTATTTTAATTTAATTAAATTTATAATAAAAATAATTTTAAAAATTAAATTTACACATATTATATAAATTTTTTTAATTAATTATAAAAATATATAATAATATTTTAATTAAATTAAACCTTATATTAATTTAATAAAAAATAGTTTAAACGTTAAATTTTAATACGTCCGGATTATTAAACTAATAATAGCCTGTGTAGCGCTAGTTTACAGACCCTGGTTTAGGTCTCAAAGAGATAAATGTGCATAGTCTGACAGTTCCATAGAATGATAATCAGAGTCGGAGCAGATTACTTAGCTAGGTAGTCATCGTACCTTTGGAGACGGCTTCGGTATATTAATAGCAATAGCTGAAAGCGGCCCCGGTCCGATGCGCAAGGAAACCAACTTGTTTTGGCCTAGAGTGGGATTTCAACCCATACCTACAGACATACTGGGCTGATTATGTTGACCTCGTTACGAAACGCGACTGCGTTATGCGAGAGCTGACGAGTCATCATATCATATAACTAACGATGAATCGCTGCGGAAATGTATCGGTCTCTAATATTTTTCTTTTTTTCTTCTTCGATGTTTAACAACGGACTTTGAGAGGAGGAATGGAAATGAAGCAGAAACTACGGTATCGACCGTTGCCTGGCCAGCATGATATTCGTGTTATTCGACTCCTAACGCCGGTGGATGACCCTGTTCACGCTACGGGGCCGGTGCACTGCGAAATTGTTCATGTTGCGCTCGGAGAGGCTGATCTCGTTGCCAATGCTGGGAGTGCGACGAAGGGATCGAATGGTGCTTGGCCGGTGAGCGTAGACGCCGCTGTTGACAGCCAGTCCAAGACATCACAGCAGACGGGATTCAACGCGCTCTTTGAAAAGAGCTTGGTGGAACGCATGACTCCGCTGGCCAATTTACCAATAACACCTTACTTCGAAGGACCCAATTGTCTTAGAGAGAACCCACCAAAGATCGGAGATCGCACGGTAACAGCGTGGAACCCAAGCCAGGATGAAGAAGCTGGTCTACCCTGGCGATACACCTGGGGTGATTTCGTCGCCTTGTCTTACGTCTGGGGCGACCAATCCATCAGGCGCGAAATAGTCGTCGACGGCGTACCTGTCTCCGTAACAGCCAGTCTCGAGGGCGCCCTACGAGAGCTGCGACACCATAGCCGCATACAACAAGGCTTTCTAGTCTGGGTCGATGCGCTATGTATCAACCAAGAAGATCTAGACGAGCGCTCTGCCCAGGTCGCCAAAATGAAGGATATATACCAAGCCGCGTGGCACGTCGTCATTTGGCTCGGCCCTGACGAGAATCGCAGCGATCTAGCGACGTTGGCGCTCCGGTACATGAGTCTCCATTCGGAGGATGAAGATGTCCTGGATAAACTGTATACGCATGTTGAGTTTTATGTCGTCCGGCTGCCGTTTATGCAATGGAAGCATTCGCACACGAGCTTGCGCATACGGAAAGCCGTGCTGAATGCCATCTACCACCTCCTTGCTAGACCGTACTGGCGTAGGCTTTGGATTATCCAGGAAGTCGTCCTAGGGTCGAGAAACTCACCTGTTCTTTGTGGTAATAGCTCTATCTTGCTGAAGGATATCTTTAGTGCCTTGAAGGTGATGAAGGCAGACGGCGACGCGCTGGGCCAGTATGTAATCTTCGCTGAGAAAGGGCCGAGCAGAACCCGCGAGAGATGGAATTTCGTAGCCGAAGATACGTATGGGATCTCAGAGAAGTTGTGGGAGCGGCCGATCGCGATAACAGCGCTCAAGTTCTTGGATGTAGACTTATCGGCACTGCATAACGGCGTATACGACTGTCTACTCATCAGCCGCGAAGCTAACGCTACTGATGAACGCGATCGGGTCTACGGTATCCTCGGCCTACCGCAGATCGCGAACACCATCCAGCTCGTTCCGGACTACAACCGCACGGCACCCGAGACTTTCATCCTCTTCTCTGCACGCCTCCTCGCAAGCGGCAACGTAAACGGACTCCGACTGGTGAACAGCCCAATTCCGGCCATAGGAACGCGCTACTACAAAAGCACGCACTTCTCCCGCCCGCGTTCGCCGAAATTCATCCACGGCCACCGCATCGTGCACCGCGGCTGCGAGCACGGCTTGCCGTCGTGGGTCATCTGCTGGTCGTGTCCGCGAAACCCCGCGCAGCCGTTCCTCGACCGCACTCGACCCTTATCCCTTCCGGCGCTCACACCCGCAACGCCGCACATCACGGACGACAATGTGCTTATCGTCAAGGGCGTCGTGTTCGACACGATTACCACCCTCAGCGCCTGCCACGCCACCGAATCCGATAAGTCATACCCCCGCAGCGCGCCCGAGCCCTCAAAAAGTGCGTACGGTGATCGTGCCGCGACGCGGGAGGCGCTGGCCCGGACATTAACTGGGGATTTCGATTCCAAGAGCGATAACCCCGATATTGACAACCCATCCCTAGCCACCGCGATAATGCACCCTTCGATCTGGGATATAGGTATCAACAGTATCGACAACAATATCTTCGGCCTAAAAGACTTCTACCAGCGCAATCGTACGCTCCAGCTATTCGACCAGTGGACGCTGGATTCCCTGGTGCGCGATCTGGACAGAAGCGCGGATATCGGGAGGAGGGTAAAGGAGTCGGCGCAGGCTCGGCCCAAGTTATTGAGGGTTACGACGGCGCACCGGGAGGCGCTGACGCAGGCCATGCGAGCGCTGGCGTGGAGGAGACTGGTGGTTACTGGCACGGGGCTCTTGGGATTGGTGCCGGCTGCGGCTAGGGAGGGGGATGTTTTGGCCATGGTAGGCGGGTGTGATGCGCCGCTGCTTTTGAGAAGGGTAGGGGGTGATGATGGAGTTGAGGAGAAAGGGAATGGGGTTGATAGTGGGAAGGGGAAGTTCCAAGTTATAGGCGAGGCGTATGTGCATTGGGTTACGGGGCGGGAGATAGAGGAGCGGATTGAAGGGGGGGCGTGTAAGGTGGAAGATATATCCATTCGTTGATCGGGGATTTGGGGAGGGCAGCTGTTGTTATTGTTGATGTTGTTTTATGTTTTATAGCAGAGATACCATTATTTGTACCAAGTAGCATGGAATAGTATATATGGTGTTTGGTTGGGAATTGTTGTGTAAGTGCCCCTATTCCAAGCGTCAAGTGTATAGTACCTACACATAGTCCTGGGAGTATTTATTCCGTCCAGATAGCCACTAGAACTATATTAATTTTATAGAATATAATAACATGTCAAGTAATAAAATTGATAGGAATAAAGATAGTTAATCAGGTAGTTGAGGGTAACGGGATTGATATAAGAGGCATTATCCACAAGACATGCTTTAACTCTTAACTCTTAAAATACATGCACCTATGTAAGTTAATCGGATACTTGAAACACTGCAAAGTATAAAATAGAAACAAACAGCGGGATGACGTACTGTACGTATATCAAGGGTACATGAATACTTGGACAATTGATGTTTGCGACGCCAATGAAGCTGCACGATTGATTGTGTGGGGAGATAATAACCTCGACTTTTTCATCAAACAACATGTTCGATAATATAAGATCATATGACGAGATGCAATTAGAAAAATTCATATATAACCGCTTAATAAAATTTAAATTTTCATATCTTATATCCAATATCCAATATCCATAGTAGTAGTCACACTGACTTTTTGCAAAAAAACGCCGATTTGCTCCGATCTACAGTAGTTCCAGTTCCAGCAAAAGTTTTCGTTTTTCGAGAAAAACGCTTTCGCCTGGGGTAACGACGAAAATTGCGCACCAATCAATTCGCTCATTTAATCGACTTACAAGATTTGGTTAACCACCACATCATCATACGAGATATATCATATATAACTACCTCCCTACCTTCCTTATAAGGTACCCGATCTGAGAATATAAGGATTGGAACTAACAAAAAGGTGAAAGAAACAAAAGAAACAAAAAAAAGAAGCGAATATGGCTTCCAACAACGCCCTCACAGAAGTGACTCTGACGTCACTCCCCAAGCTCGCCACGGGCAAGGTCCGCGACCTATACACCGTCGACGACAACACCCTGCTATTCGTAACCACGGACCGCATCTCCGCCTACGACGTCGTCATGAAGAACGGCGTCCCCAACAAAGGCGCCCTGCTGACCCTCCAGTCCGTCCACTGGTTCAACGTCCTGTCCGAGAAAGTCCCCGGCCTAAAGACGCACTTCCTCACCACCGACGTGCCCCCCGCCGTCGCCCCCGCCGAAGCTAAACTCATCCGCAACCGCAGCATGCAGGTCCGCAAGCTCGCCGTCTTCCCTATCGAGGCCATCGTCCGCGGCTACATCACCGGCAGCGCCTGGAAGGAGTACAAGGCCCGCGGCACCGTCCACGGCACCCCGCTGCCCCCCGGCCTGCGCGAGTGCGACGCCATCCCCGGCGGGCCCATATACACGCCGAGCACCAAGGCGCCGCTGGGCCAGCACGACGAGAACATCTCGCGGTCGCAGGCGGCTTCGATCGTCGGCGAAAAGTACGCGTCGCGCATCGAGGACCTCGCGTTGCGCATCTTCCGCGCGGGCCAGGAGTACGCGGCGGAGCGGGGCATCATCATCGCCGACACCAAGTTCGAGTTCGGGCTGGACGAGGCCGCGGACGAGGTGGTGCTCGTGGACGAGGTGCTGACGTCGGACTCGTCGCGCATGTGGCCCAAGGACAGGTACGAGCCGGGCCGCGACCAGGAGAGCTTCGACAAGCAGTTCCTGCGCAACTGGCTTACGGAGAACGGGCTCAAGGGCAAGGACGGCGTCGAGGTCCCGGAGGACGTGCTCCAGGCGACTGGGGAGAGGTACGCCGAGGTGTTTAGGAGGTTGACGGGGAAGACGCTTGAGGAGGCTTTGCGGGGATGAAGGTATTATTGCAGGTGTGGATGTGAGATTTTAAAAATCTAAGACGCGAGATACGCAGCAGAAAGGAGTAGATGTTCCCTGGGCGTCTAGGTAGTGAGTAATCACTAGCCTTCACTCGTGTTAAGATGCGAGAAGATGAAATCATAGAGAAAATGAGATTAAGCTCAGATAAGTTATATAAAATAAAATCCCACCATGTCGCCATCTGACCCCCCTTATTTGATGTCTTAAGTAGATTGAATAAAGGCTTATGTTATGAGATATAGAATAGAAAATTTCGCAATGGTTTGTAACCTAAACCACTGGAGTCGTCCAGTCGTGAAAACATACTGAAGATTTAAGCCCCATTATGTCCTACCCTTTTAAAAGCACCTCGGTCGACCAATTCTCCTTTCCATGTCAAATTTCAGGTTCTTATCCCAAGAAAAAAGCAAATTGTCAATGGTAAATAACAGACCAAATACAGCAGAAGTAAAACTCAATCAGTAGTTACCCTTAAACATAAGGCGAAATCGGCATGGGCGTAAACGCAGGCGCCGCCGCAGTCGTCATCTCCATCTCCATCCCCATCTCCGCAGCGGCAGTATCCATAGCCCTCGGCGCACCAGCAATATGCGCCGCCTTACCTTCCTTAAGATAGGCACACGACTCAGAACACGACGTATCACCACACTGCGAGACCTCCAGTCCAATATCCGCCTTCTGGCAGTTATGCGTCTTGCACTCCTTCACGCAGTCCTGGAACTCCTTGCTCTCGTGCATGCTGGCCTCAGGCACCGTCTTGACAACGGGGGGGTCGGGGCCGGGATGGTCTGCCAGACGGCCGGGCGCAGAGGGGACTTTGACTTTATGCGCGCTGACGCCGGCGTGGGCGGACTCTTTGAACGACGCGCAGGCGTCGACGCAGGAAGTTTCGCCGCATTGCTCGATGTCGAGGCCAACGCCGGATTTTTGGCAGTTGTGCGTTTTGCATTGCTTCATGCAGGCTTCGTAGTCACCTTCTTGGGCAGCGCCTTTGATGGGGACGGATTTGGGGCCGTGGGAGGGTCTGCGGTGCTGAGGTACGCGGTGAGTAGCGGGGGCGGAAGCAGGGGCAGCGGTAGCGGCCTTGATGGGCCCGCCTTTGACTTCCGGAACTTCGGGGATGGCGGGAACAGCAGGGACGGCAGGGACGGCAGGGACCTCGGGGGTAGGAGGTACTTCAGGGACAGTAGGGACGGTAGGGACGGTGGGAACATCGGGCACGTCAGGCACGTCAGGTACGTCGCCAGTCTTTCCAGGGCGCCTAGCCTGCCTAGTGATGATCATAGCCTGTCCTCCCTTGTACTTGGCGCAAGACTCCTCACACGAGGTATCACCACACTGAGAGATATCGAGTCCAACCTCCGAATGTTGGCAGTTGTGGCTTTGGCATTTCTTCATGCAGTGCTCGAAATCTTCGTTGTGTTGGGCAGCAAATACAGGCTTCTTTGGCTTAGGGAGCGGCGCGTCAGCCTTCACACGGTCGGCGACAGGGCGAACATGCTTCTTCTCAATGCTCTTGCTAATGCTCTTGCTGTATCTAGACTTGGACGACTTGAACTTGGCGCATGCGTCTTCGCATGAGGTGTCGCCACACTGCGAGATAGCGAGTCCGACTTCAGAGTGCTGACAGTTGCGAGTCTTGCAGCTGTTCATGCAAGCCTCGAAGTCCTCGAACCCTGCGCCGGCGGCTTCATGTACGGTCTTGGCTGGACGTGGGTGGGTGAACTTGCGATGGGGAGGCATGGGAGGTGGTACCGGGATGCTCCTCCCACCGAGACCTCCTAAGAGAGACTTGAGAAGATCGTTCTTCTTTGCCTTGTCGTCGTCACCATCGCACTCGCTTGAACATTTCTTCATGCACCCCATCTGAGTAGCCTTTCCGTCCTCGCTGGCACAGGCACTAATACAGTTACAGTTATGAGATGCAGTAGCCTGGGCAGAATTCGAAGCGGTAGCAGTACCAGAAGCTGAAGGAGTAGGAGTAGGGGTTGCGGTCGCTTTCGCTTTCCTCTCCCTCCCGGAGCGCGGCACAAGGGGATGACCGGTGGACATAGCATTACCAACGCTAGTCGCCCACGACATGACGCCTGCAGAAGCCCCATTGAAAATGGTAGAGGCGGCATGTCTCGAAAGGTCAGAGATCTGGCTGGGGCTAATCTGTCGACGCTCGGCTTGGCCCATTTGGTCGTCCTGTGATGTCTCCCCTGCCACATCAGAGTTCTCGAGTTCCATAGCCTCGGCGATGGCCATCAATGTGTTATCGCGAAGTGTGGCAGAATCAACGGCTGGGGAATCATGAGATTTTTGCACGCCTGTCATTTCATTTCGTGGCCTAGTTTCGTTAGACAGCGAATCGCAAGAAGAGAGAGAAAGGAGCATGAAGGCGACTTACGCGATGGGCTTGGCCATCATGGCCGGGATGAGAGCCGCAAGAACGACTTGGTTCCACATTTTGGCGGTAGAGTAGCTGATCAACTTATCTTCAAGCTGCTGTATCAGTACTAAAAGAGCTTCCTTCTCTATTGCTCTATAGTTCAGCTCCTTTCCAATTGCCTTAGTGAAGATATTATAACCACGACATTACGGGATCGACTCCTTGTTATATACGTATCTGTTATGTTATGTTAGTACACCAAATTTTAAGGGGAGATCAGACATGCTCCAGTCTCTCCCAGGACATGGCGCCCCTGTAGTGTCGATCTAATCAACCCATGGTATAAGGAAAATAGCATATCGCGGTGGTCTGGCGATGTGAAGGAGACATCTTTTTGAGACAGGTAATGTTATCAGTGCTGAAATATCCCTGTTGGAATCGTCCTGTCTCAGGGAGTCCAGCTATAATACAGCCAGAGAGGGAGGTCCATCTCCAAAAACACGGGTTCCTACGCACATCCATTCCATCTGAGGAGAGATCGAGATTTCGCGAGGAATATTAGCAGTCCCTCGGAACGTACTATTATATGAAAGCCCTGCCGCACGCCTGACAAAGAATTCCTCTTAACGGTATTGAGATCAAATCTTTTGAGTCTCATTGCGATGAGAGATTGCTTCAAGCCCTGGACGAGACAGATAAGGCCGGGAAGGAAAAGAACGAATTCTTAGCCCCTAATACCCCCAAACAGCAAGTGAGTGCCCATCGTCAAGTCCCAAGGGTTCATAACCTCCTAGTATGGCTTCTCTATATTCCTCGGTTGAAAGCTCCCTAAGCTTACTCGTGAATTAAGGTAAGAACTCCCTCGACACATAAGCTCATGTCAAGGGAGGAAATTGAGAGCCATCAGATACGTTGCTGACACTTAGTCAAAGACTCATATAGTCAAAATTATGACTGTAGAACCGGTTACCTGTGAGTTTCAGTCGTATATGTTATATATTAGATTTGAAGCTAGGATTCATCCAACTCATTATGTCGGCGTCGCGGGTGGCGCGAGTGGCTTGCAGGATTTATACAGCCCTATCGAACATGCATGATTAATTGTAGATCAAGCTGTTATGATCTGGTTCTTTATCGTGTATATTGATCCTTGATCGTCGTTAATATTTCCTACGAGACCTGGAATTTCCTAGGCTGTTCCCGGTTTATAAGAGTATAACAGCGCGGGAAGAAGGGATCGTTTATACATAGGAGTTGCCAGCAGGAGGAAGGAGGATTAAGTTAGTGTAAATAAGAGAATTGAAGTATGGACCAATGAGCGTGAAGAGTAAGAATTATGTGAGCTGTCAAGTGCTACGTACCTGCTAAGAGGTAGCTGCCAAGCCAAGTTGCCCCACACAAGCTTCTGTAAACGGGGCCAAGCTTTGCTGGCAGTTCCCACTCTTTATACCCCCCTTGTTCCACTGCCCCTCACTATCGGTATCGAATTATCTACCTACCTCTAACACCTACAACCACTATTACAAGTCTCATTTACGGGTTATAGTTCACCAGATATTCTATTTTATTACAGGAAAAATGATATAAGACGCATCTAGTATAATAATAACTAGACTTTACATTCGTCGGTCTTTTTATATAAATATAGGTATAATCTACGGTTTCATCTAGGTACAATACCCGTTATGGACTTCATCCGGCGGTGGCTGGGGGCTGCCCAACCTCACTGCTGCAAACCAGCCTCTCGATATGCAGGATGAGATGGCCCAACCTCCAACCATATTTCAGACTATCTATCTCTTCTCATGTACTCTTCCGTCTATCTCTACCTAAGAAACACCAACTCGTGCTACTCGTACTACTAAACAAACAATTGGTCAACTTGTCCAAGCCGAATTGTCGCTGTCGCCTTTAGCACGACAAACCGACAGGACGAAGCATGAGTTCCCACAACTACGGCCCTGATAACGTCGAACTAAATCGTATGCCAGCTTATATTCTAATTCTTATTCTTACATCATTTTCTCTTTAGTTCTCTTTAGCTTACTCTTGTTTTCTTAGGACCGAACCCTTCTTATAGAACCAACATACCCAATTCTGACGTCTCTCCCCCAACAACAACGTCACAAGTCACTGTCGTTCATCATCTTAACTCGCGGCCTAGGCCCGACACATCTACCCAAGAGCCCTCACCTCCATCTTCACAGCAGACCGTTGTACCCTATGCGCCCACTCCTCCATCGGCCCCTTCCGCTCCTTCAGTATCCTCCGAATCAGAGATCTACGGCCCGGACCGACTTTTCGGGCCCCCACCAGTGGCACCAGAGAATGCCGATCGCTCGCTGATATCAAGCCCGGGTGCCCGCTTCGACCAACCACAATACCCGGCTATGGCTATGTTTCGAGATACCGCTTCCGCGGATGATTTTAAAGATGATCTCACAAGAGCCGCCGGCGTTGTTACCCCTGGAGTTGATGATGGTCCTTACATTCAATATGCTCTAGACGCCCTCACTCGTGATCGAGAATCATCGGGATACCCTTCTTCTAGCAGCGATGAATCAGCTCGACCACCGTATCACTTTACACCAACCGCAGTTCCAGCTCCCTTCAGACCGCCCTCAGTGCAATTACCTCCGCAAGCAACTAGAGGCAACAATGATCCTCAGCAATGGCCCTTAGTTCCAGGCCCTCGCGTTATTGCTCTGCCCCCGAACACCACTGCAGAGGATTTACGTCAGGGATGGCCGGAGCGGTTACGTCGAGCAGAACTAGCGAGTCAACCTCTTTGGGATGTAATTCCGGATACTACCGACGAAAACGAAGCCTTTAAAGCTCGCATCCGGCCCATTCCTCAGACACACGACGAGCGCCTCAAACTGGAAAATAGACCGCCGGACTCAAAACTGCCCCTACCGCGAAATCTAGATCACTGGCAGCCCCGGTCAGATCTACTAATCGATTCCGAGACGGGATTGCACCATTGTGGAAAAGCCTTGCAGTATCAAGCGCCCCTGACGCTGAAGCCCTGGGTCCTACGGTCGCAATCGCTGTTTATTTTGGGAACACTGTGCTTATTGATGGTTGCGGCCCTCGTGTTCTGCGCTGTCTACTCCATGGGCCGCAACGGTTTAACACCATACGCCGGTACAATCTACGGCGGCCAATATTTCCTTTTCCGAATGCTGCCCCAGCTATTGGCGATAATTATCCTGATTTACGCCCAATGTGTTATTACTGCTGCGTTCTGGGTCTTGCCATTTTCTAATATGGCCTCAGATAATCGTAATGAACGACGAGATGCCGTCTTTTTGTCTTTATTCCCCAAGTCGTTCCTCTGGCCCCAACTCGTAGGGAACTGGAGTATTTGGATACCCATATTTAATGTTTGGCTTTTGAACTTCACAATCCCTCTGCAAAGCAGTCTCTTCACCGTCATTTTCGTGGACGGGACTTGGACCTGGGCAACAGTACAGGGTGTAGCGTGGACGTTGGTGGCTCTATATGTGTCTTTTCTACTGGCACTGGTCGTAATGATAGTGTTTTGGCATCGGCGAACAACCGGGATGATGCGACCCTGGAGTCTTCGGACTTTAGCAGATATCATCTTCCTGATATCCCAAAGTAATTCGTTGCATCGATACCGCGGGCTCGAGACGGCAACAACGCGAGAAAGCATGTGGCAAAAACTGGGCGGGACTGCTGAAAGGCTTGGATTTTGGTTCTGCCCTGAAGCACCAAAAGTCGGAACATGGTACGGCATCGGAGTATCGACCGGCGCTGAAGATATCATAACCGAGAAGATGGATAATCCAGGATGGACCAGCCAACAAGAAGCCCCCTTAGAGGCTGGCGAGCAGCCCCTGAGCCCTAGCATCCGTTACCGCTACCTTCCGTGGTGCTTTCGAGATGGTCAGATCATTTTCTTCGCCGTTGCATCTTCGATTCTCCTGCTCGCTTTAATCATCGTATCATTTCTTCCCGCCACGGATATACGCAACGGTTTCCTCCCTCAAATAAGCCCTGCTCCTGTCACCGGTGCATTTTCGGCAGCTAACTTCGTCTATTCTTTTGTTCCTTCGCTTCTCGGACTCATGCTATTTCTCATGTTTCAGTCCCTAGACCTAACATTGCGGATCTTAACCCCGTGGGGTGAACTTGCACGTCCGGAAGGTTCACGAGCAGAAACCTCGCTTCTCTTGGACTATTCCACCTGCCTCCCCTTTGAGTCGACTTATAAGGCTTTGAAGAACAAGCATTGGCGGGTAGCTGTTGTGTCTTTTCTATCCGTATTTTTTGCCCTTCTACCAGTTTTGGCTGGTGGACTGTTCATGGCCCTAACTCCTCCTTCTGGAGAAGTACGCATGTATCCCAATGTACCTGCTTTCGCCATTATTCTCGCCCTCCTATTCCTATACGTAGGCGGGCTCATCTGCTTGGTGCCCAAGAGGCAACAGTTCTGCCTCCCCCATGCCGTCACCTGCCTAGCCGAGATCATTAGCTTTTGCTGCGACGAACAGCTGCGTACGGACGAGGCATTCGACTTGCACATGGTCTTGGAGTCCCATGACCTTGCCGGGAACCTTGATATCGGCAAGGACTGGCACAGGCAGGGCCGATGGACTTTCAGCGCCGGCCGAAATAACGACGAACGACTCGGCGTCAAGCGCTACAGCAAGTACACCGTCAACCCGAAGAAGCTACGAGCTTACGACAAGAGAGCTAGAGGCCAGCTTATCTCGGCGCCTCTGCCTCATGACAGCAGTTCACTGTTCAAGCGCTAGATTGTGGCGGCTTTTGCATATTACATATTATTTTGCTATTTAGCTTGTACATATTTCTTATTTTTATTCAACTACCAACCCATTTTACCAACGGATTTAACGACGACAGATTGATACGCTGTATGTAGAGCATGGAGTAATGGGATCAGGGATGTCATGGTGTTTACGGCTAATGGACTTATGGTTTACGGATCACGGATTATGGTTACGATTTTTTAAAAGAAATTATGGATAGCGGCACGGTTGGCCGCAAGGTGAATGGTGAATGGTGAATGATGAGGCGCGTGGAAGTAATGAAAGGGGCCATGTTACGATTCCACGAGAGCGAAAACAAGATTGATAAACCTTGTTACATATTGAGAGATACCTTTTTAGATTGCATAGGCGACTACCAGAAAGAAATGAAGTCGGGAGTTCTGGAGCTGAGAAGCTACTTTGTTTGAGTTGTGTTGATTCAATTTATGAATATTCGCTTCTGATCCGCGAGGGGTACCTTTAAGTGACTACACGATGTTATTGCTCTAATAGAGAGGATTACGTATGTAGAAGTCGTCGTCTCCAGAATATTTAGTTATATTTAATCTCGGTAGACATATACTATTTAATAGCAATTAAATAGTCATCGCGGTACACCAACTAGCTAGCGGCTATAGCGCCTTTGTTCACGACGATAGCTCAATAGTACTAAAATATAGAATGGTGAGAGTTTAGATGCGAATCTAAAATATATCGGCAAGATCTAGATTTATTATATATGATCTCGGTCTAAGCACCATCTATAAATACCTAGGTAGGTAACTAATCTAACCTAGCAAATATGCGCCTCTCCATGCGGTCACGCAAGTAGCACCTAGGTAGTAAGTGGATTAGACATACTAGGTAGGTTTAGGTATGTAGCCAGGTAATTCATACCTAGTAGATATACATACAGCCATGGTATAGTATAAGTCAATAATTTACCAGGCACCTAGTTGGTAAATAACATCATATCCGTTGATACGATTATTAACGCGGACAAATTGACAGGCCCGTCTAGTTACCCCGGCAATACCTTAAGTACCTACCTAGGGAGGTTCAAACAAGGGAGAGAGCGAAAGAGAAAGCGAAAAAGAGAGAGAGAGAAAATATAGATTAGGCCGGTCCTGAGCTAGCGAATTCCAACGGGGCGGTTCGTCCGCTCCATCTAGGTAGGTAGAGGTATCTATCAGTGACCTAGGTATTATTGATCAATCGATTACCTATGGGGGAGTTATGCATATGCAAATTTCCAATTTCGGGTCGTTGTTTACTTACCACTACGTCGGTATCGGTCAAGTATGGTCTTGGTATTGTGCGGTTAATGATTGTGAAACGGTGTTTTAATAGATATGTATGTGCCTAAGGTAGGGTATGTATGTATGTTTATGTTTATGTTCTAAGTGCCTTGCGTGAAGAAACGATGAAGATAGGTAAGGTAGGTAGGTAGGTTGGGCAAGTAAATATTTACTTTAGCAACGGGACAGACAATAATACCCTGCGAACTAGCTAGGTAGCTACCTACCTTAGGTACCTAGCTATGCACCATTTACGAGTTATCGATACCTATTCTAGAATACCGATTTACTTCCTAAACAACCTCTTAGACAGACAGTAAAGCAAGCAGCAAGCCGTCTATCCGGGGAAACCGGCAATGCAGAGACCATTGGCTACCGACATATGTATGTCTTGTCTCGCAGGTCCGTCTATCCAACGGGACGGAACTAATTAACTGCAATATTCCCAAACTACCTAACCTAAATTATTATTATCACCTCGGGCAATTTGGTAATCAGACAAAGCGCCGGTAAATGAGCATGGCATGTAAGCGATGCTTGTTTATATGTAAACTAGCTACGTAGGTAGGTTAGGTAGGTAATGTAAGGTAAATTTGATGTCTCAGACATTCCCCGTGGTTTAAGAATAAAAAGTGGTAGTAGTATTGTACATAGAGTAATAATAATCGAATGTAAATAAACAAGGAGAGAGAGAGAGAGCTCAAGCTTCGTTGATCGTGTAGATTACCTAGATAAAAATGAAATGGAATGACTGGACTTGAGTTTTTAATGATGATGATGTTGTTGATGTTGTTGTTAAATGTAGAAACGCCCTCGTGACCACCGTCGTATCCTCTTTTTTCATCGCCGTCGCCATCGTAGTCATTATCGTAGCGATACCGGGAAGTGAGGGATCGTACAAACCCCCCCGTGTGCAGTTTTCCTTTTAGCCCCCCTTTTTTTGCGCCCCCTCGCCCGAGCGAGTTGTATGCTCTAATCAACATATGTAACGTGACAAGATTCGTAGTCTCCAGTATCGTACCTCTCATACACCCTCGTACCCCTTTTTGTGTGTTGCTCGTATGCGCCTTTCATCTCGTCGGCCGTTGTGTGTGCTTCGTGAACATCCTCGTACGAGTTCGTAGGAGCTAGGAAATGCGATTATGACAAAGGAAATGACGTTCAAAAAGCCCACGTAGAGCATTGAAAAAGCTGGCGGACTGCTCCCGGATAATCCCTAAATGAATGCGGAAAAACAGCCTTTGAAAAAAAGGAAGAAAAAAAACGTAGGTAGATGATACAGTGATATTGGCCTTATTTTTTTTTTCTTTTTTCGATGTGTATGAAAAATGCTCAGCGACCCTTTAGTCCTAAAATGCGACCCAGGCTACCTCCTCGTTTGCGCTTCTCCTTGTCCGAGGCGTGGGCTTCCGAGTCTTCGCTCCCGCGTCGTCCACTGCTACGCTTCTCGCTCGCACTCTTCTTGTGGAACCCGCGGGCAATGCGCTTGGTAAAACTGTTGCTCTCCATGTACGACTCGTGATCTGAATCAAACTCAAACACCGAAATGTAAGGTTCAACTTCTGGCCGGCGCGAAGCGGGTTGAAATTCCGGCGTTGGCGTCATTGCCGGTGAGCTGAGAGGCGATAAGGGGATTGTAGCATTGTGCTGCGTGCGGTTGAACGAGCTGCTTTTATCGCGGAGGTTGAAAGCTGAAGACGTCGGGCGCAGAGCCTTTGGAGGCGGAGGTGGGGGGTAAGCTGGTGATACAGGAACAGAATTTGCAGACACTGGTGCCATCGGCATCCTAGATATAGGAGGGATGCTGTGAATATGTGGAAGGTTGTGATGCGATTTGCTGGACTTGAGGTTTACAATCGACTTGGCTGGTTTTAGAAAATGCCGCCGAGGAGGTGAAAGAGGAGCTGCAACTAGTGATGAAGTCCGTGGAGGGAGTGGATGTCGCAACATATTATGCGGCTCTTGCTTAGGATAGATGGAATACGTGGGCGAGCCATTTCTCGTCACCGGACGTGGAGGCGATACCTGAGTGGCAGAAGTCTTACGTGAACCTGTAGCCTTCTGGGAGGATGTCTCTGGCTTTGATATCGTAATTGTATCATTCGTCTCGTCAGATTCGCGTTTCGAAAAACCTTTAGGTAGACAATGCGGTGTCTGTGACGCTCGTAGAAGCACGGGATATTGTTCTCCAGGACCAGCTGCACTGTCGGGCCAAAAGCTATCCCAGAGCTCACTAGCTGATGTATTATAATCCTCGTCGGATGAAGTCTCCGAGTCGGATGAGTCTGTCATCCCCGGCATAGAGCCATTCGACGCCAGTGATGATCGTCTATTTTCTGACTCATGGCGACGTAGGTGCTCATTCTCATACAGTTTAGGATATGAGGAGTTGCTCGTAAGGCTCAACTTCCTTGGTAGCCTTGGTATTATGACGTCTGGCGAGTGATCCCCTCCGTCAACAACAATTCCTTCTTGATATGGGTGGTTGGCGAGCTCCATGATCTCAACTGCTCTGAAAGATCGATCTCGATCGGAATACAACTCTGAGTCCCTATGACGGATATTCACAGTTTATAGAGTAATGTCGAGAGGAAGTTGGTGTGCTACCAAGACAAAGCATACGTCGAAAGAGCAGAACACTGGTCTGCAGATCCTGGCAGTCGAGGGCAGGATTAGTAAATAATACAACGAAGAAAAAAGATAGGCCGAGGGTTAGAATGTAAGTCAATCATCCAGCCCATAGGGATGCCGTATTTATCAAGGATTAGCACAACTCCTTGACTCGCGTCTAAGCCTGAAAACACCTAGGAGACAGGGCAAGGCAATGTTTGTGCAGAATGCATAACAGCAAGGGAGACTTCAAATACCTTGTGTGTGTATGTGTGTGTAAGATACGTCTTGCATTTTAGATCTTATTCATGCTGTTCCAGTCGAACGGTACGCTACGTCAGAGACTAGGGAAACGGAATGCAACTAGGCACTGAATAAAAAAACAGCAACTACTATGTATGGTACGGGAAGACAAACGGACTTGTCGGGAGCTGTCATAGTAGACGTGAAAGTCCCACATCCGTACATTGGTGGCGGGAGCGAGAAGAAGTAAATTGGGTGATGCAGCATTATCTTGCCTTCTACTCGGCCAGTGTGGCTACACCCATCCGCCTAAGCCAGCGAGGGGTGGAAGAACAAACAGCAGAGAGGGAAGAGGCATGGAATCTCTTCCGTATAGCGGAAAGAATGTATCAGGTAGTACCATTCCAACCACCACGAGGGTACTCGGGCCTACCATCGGGCATCATAGCAGGCCCCTCTAAAGTGATGGATCAAAAAAATGAGGAGGGAGACGCGTAGGGAGCGCTGCCGACTCGTCAGAAACGCGCTTGCGCTTCAAGTTGAACCTGCATGGTCGAGTTCGACTCTGCATATAAGCCCAAGTTGCACCGTGCCGACACGAATGAAAGCGATTATAAGCTATGCCGCCGCTTTATGCACTTGTCAATATTTAGCGACGGCTATAGGCTTGACAAATCGATATTGTGCTTATGCTAATACCGACTTGTGCCGTTGTTTTCTAGCTCAGTATACCTACCTCTCAATATACCTCCTATTCGGCCTACAGTATCCGTGATTCACTGAGCGCCGAGACATCGCGGCGATATCGACGTCATGACCGTCTCCTGTAAAGCACCGAATGCTTGTATTGTAGGAGGCGATTAGATACCGTACCTAGGTATGTATTCCTTTTTGAGGCTCCGGGAGATCGACACCCTTGGGGTATTTGATATTGCAGATCGTCCAATAGTTCGGGTTGTGTACATACATG